TATTTTGTTAGAAAACTTAATTTGCGTCATTAAGAATTAGTTTCATCGAAATAAGAAATAAATCGATAACATCATCATCGATATCAACGGAACGGTGACAGGCGGCCGCCATTACGAAAAGCATTTTTGACTAGAACAGACGTGTTTTGTTTTGTTTGGGTTTATAGTGAAAAATCCATTGACTTACAATTATATGGACGTCGGGTCCGCGCTAAAAAGTGTCCAAACTTATAGGGCGTTAAAATCGTATACAGAGCGTCATTCACGCTTTAGTCTTCGTTTGTTCGACTGACAGCGAAGCAAGCAAAATTAGACAGTCCTGCGATGACATTACAGTTTAAATTCAACGTTTTAGCTTTTTCATATTCCTTTACATGTCACTACGTTTAAATAGGTTGACTTGGGACATCTTTTTCGTGGTTTTTGTATTAGACCCGTCGTCCATTTATTTGTAAGTCAATGGAAAAATCTTATAATATAATTTATAACAGTCACTTGAGTCTCATTTCTATGTCTACCTGGAAAGTTTCTTACACTATGATGTAAAGGGGATTTTAATATTTCGGCACCTTTCTTCTCACACTCCTATCTTAAAACACAAAGTTACCGAAATGCAAAAAATGGATTGTATATACAAATTTTGCTGGTTGATTTCACATTACATTTCCGTCATATTCACACGCTGGCTTTTGTGTATTCTTAAAGTGATGGAAAAAGAAATTTAAAATAAATAGAAAGTTTTACAATCTCCTGAATAATCACTCTTTTTAAGATACGAGTTTAAGGGCCGTATTCTAAAACTCTACTCAATGCTCAAGTCAGGATTTGAGTATGGTTTAAAGCACTCGAAATCATACTCAAGTCCCTGCCATTAGGGTCGTATTTCCAGAGCTTGTGTTTCAATTGCAATCCTGACTTGAGCAGTGAGTAGAGTTTTAGAATACGACCCTAAGAAAGTAAGGCATCGATTTGGCCGCTATTGAGAACTTTTGTAAAACTGAATTTAAAATTAACATAACGAATAATTATATTAAGCAAGTTCGTGAAAATAATAGTATCCAAAGGTAAACAATGAAAATATTGAGATATCTTTTTTAATTAACTTCACTAGCTTTTACAATGATTATTAATGTAAAGATCGTACACAGAAAAATTTTCCGACCAGACGAGAATTGATCCTACGAGCACCCAGTACAAAAGTCTTTAACAAAAAACACATAGGAGAATTTCGGCGACGTATTGTTGTCGGTTCGTGCCCCATCGGGTCGAAAACTTTTTCTATGTGTTCGACCTCTGTATAAACAATCATAATTATTATTTAAAAAAAAACAAGTAGACATTTCTTGTCAATTTGTAATTAGATTTTTTGAGAAACCAACAATTTGTTATTTATATTCACTTTAGAGATAAAATTAAAATCGATACTTCTTTAAATTATGTGCAGGTATTGGCTTCAATAAACGTATTAAGTATACTAAAAAGTTTTGTAATTTTTAGTGTAACCTCACCAATAAACGGCGCAATTTGGTGAGATATTGTATTATTTTATTTAACTCCATAAAGCTAAATAAAATTTAAGAAGGCAAAATATACTTCGTAAAAGAGGCTCAACTGTTAAAACGGGTAGCAGAAGAGCTCCTTGTGACAGACTTCGTTCAGAGAAGTACTGCCACCTTACCTATTTCTGCCGTTTTAACATTGACTTACAAATAAATGTACGACGGGTCTAATACAAAAACCACGAAAAAAATATCCCAAGTCAACCTATTTAAACGTACTGACATGTAAAGGAATATGAAAAAGCTAAAACGTTCAATTTAAATTATAATGTCATCGCAGTACTGTCTAATTTTGCTTGCTTCGCTGTCAGTCGAACAAACGAAGACTAAAGCGTGAATGACGCTCTGTATACGATTTTAACGCCCTATAAGTTCGGACACATTTAGCGCGGACCCGACGTCCATATAGTTGTAAGTCTATGCGTTTTAAGGTTAAAGATGCTGGGGAAATTACAGGCACATGGGACTTGTCTACTTATGTCTTAGGGTGACGGAAAAAGTGCCCCTCAGATGTTTGCGATTTAAAGCTCTCTGCTATGGCCAGATGTGTCGCTTAGCACCTAGCACACGATTTATTTGTCCCGTCATTTGATATATATTAATAAGGGGACACGTTAACTTCAGTTCTTTCCCGTTCTGACAGATATATAAAACTAATTTAGAAAAGTGTGCCACTAGCACTTACCTTAAATCTTTTGAAACCTGCGATTGGTGATGCCTATATCAATCATTTTAGTGGCAGTAGAATTACTAGTGCAAGAATTCGTCCAGGAAATGCGGCCTGACCAATTTTTGCCGCCAAGCTGGAACGTTAGCATTGTTGTGTTACTGTTTTGAAGGTTACAGGTGCTGGTGAAATTACAGGGTCTTGTCAACTTATGTCTCTGGGTGACGGGCGCAGTGGCCCTCAAACCCTTATGATTTAAAATTCTGAGTGGCACTACAACCATTATGGACAGACGTGTCGCTTACCACCAACCACGCACGCTTAGTCGTTCTGTCACTTGATATCTTGAAAAAAAATTATTTTGGATTTTCCTAACTCGTTGCCCGGTTTTGATTTTGGCTCTCACTTCCACGGATTGGCTGGAAGCGTCTCTTTGAGAGATAACTCAATAAGCTCACCGTTTGTATAATTAATATTTTTTTTGTATTTGTTTGTTGCAACAATAAACGCATGGTTAAATGCGTTTTGTATCGGGCTCAAGCCGATGCTAACAGATGTGGAGATTTCCTTATTAAAATATTGTGTAGTAAAAGACAAAAGAAAAACTCAAAAGAAAATAGGAACTCATATATTTACATACACATTATTATGTAACCGATATTTACATAACTAGCTCAGTAACCTAAAAACAAAATGGCAACTTGAGCAAAATCTTAAGTATAATATTTATTATGTTTCGCTTGTTGGCATACCTTTTTTGACTACAAATCATTTTGAGAACTATTTAGTGAATTGTACTTAAAATATATTTATTAACTAACGGATAACTCACGTAACGACCGTCGAGTCACAGCCGCGGAATCTCATGATTAGTGACCACGGACTTCTTCGAAACACATCGAGTAATAACCTAACCTCCGGTTAAAAAAACCGACCTCAAAAGTCATTCATCCCCTAGTTAGGAATATTTTCTTCAAATTGAAATGGGACCACTTCTGAGGTACCCTCTTTCTAACAAAAAATAATCATCAATATAGGTTCACAAATGGCAGAGTTATCGCGTAACATACATACTCGTACAAAAAAAACAGACGAATTGAGAACCTCCTCCTTTTTTTGAAGTTAAACGGTTAAAAATTAGAACTTTTCGATTAAAGTAGTGTAGAGACGGGTAAGGCGCTTTGTTAACGCCGGGTTTTAATCGGGTTAAATCCCATTAATAACCGAAATCGAGGGCAAAAACTATTTACAACGAAATATTTACAAATCGATCTTTATTCAAATGGACCCAGTGGGACTTGAATCCAGAACCATGCTGCACCGTAGCATTGCTCTTACCAACTGAGCCACAAGTTACCGAGCTGTTGAAATTTTCTTACGTGTTTTTTGCTATAGATTGGCATTCGTCAAAAATTTGAATTTGAAATTAATCTATACAAAAACTCGTTATCGTATACACTTGAATCGATTTTCGTAATAATCGAATCAAGGGGTATTGTGTGGAGTTGCCCTATTTTCATCTAAAAAAGGTTCTTTTTTATCAAAATTTGTAGTAACTATGGAATCGAAACTATTAAACAACGTTTCGGACCCTTTACAGGTCCCATGGTCACGGTTGACTGAGGCGGTGAAGCCATCAACCAGTTATGTAACCAGTAATACGCGATTTAAATCCGGAAAAATAGTTTCAATATCCTGTGTGTAACAATTGCGAAAATCTAAGAACTCGATAAGTATGGAATCATACGAAATTCCGTATTTGCCGTTCTTGGGCAGAAATGAGTTAAAACCCAGTGGTTTGATTAAAAACCTGGTTAAAACCCAGGTGGGTCGATTCGATTTTAACCCAATGGCCTTCTCTGAACATGTGAGTTATCTGTTAGTTTTGTTATTATTCACGGTAGTTTTCTATTTAAAATATATTTAGTTCAACACTGCCGTTTAACAGTAGGTTTAAGAGTTTACTCCAAGTTCTAATTAGTTTATAATGTCGTAGTTAAGTTACAACTTACTAACAAGTTTTGCAAAATGTTGTAGTCGGAATGAAATCTTGTCCAACACAGCTCAAATAAACGTAAGAAACAGAAATATAAGCAAAACCTATTTAAAAGATTAATAAGAAAGACGTCTTCCTGGAAAAGTTAAGACAAGCGTCTTTAATAAACACCTAAATGAATGTACGAGAAATGATGGCGGGAATTTACACGGATTACGTCTAGGCAATTTTCGAAATAAGCACCTATATTATACGTGGCGATAGTATAAATTGCAACTTCCTCCCTGCATTAAGGTGACCCCCGTATAGAGAGCTGTGCCTACGAAGCTATAGGGTGAGGCGGTGCGAGATGCTATTTATTATTATCCCTATATTAAAGAGGGTCTTTCCCATTATTCTAAATTGAAGATAAAACTGCTTTTTTGTCGGACGTCGGCCACAGCCACACGGGTATAAAAAGGAAGAACTTACAGTTACACTAGAAGACAATTTTGTCTTTACTCAACACAGGACAATTTAAATTTCGAACCGCTGTAGCTGTACTGTCAGTTTTTTTTTTCAAATATAACTGCATTGACAAGTTGCTATTGGCCTCTGCATTTTTTGCATTTATGCATTGACTTACAATTATATGGACGTCGGGTCCGCGCTAAAAAGTGTCCGCACTTGTAAGGCGCTAAAATCGTATACAGAGCGCCAAACTCCGCTTTAGTCTTCATTTGTTCGACTGACAGCGCGATACTGCGATGACATTACAATTTAAATTTCGAATAGGTTGACTTGGGACATTTTTTTCGTGGTTTTTGTATTAGACCCGTCGTCCATTTATTTGTAAGTCAATGCATTTATGACACATTTTTTATTATGTTGAGGTGTCAAACTCCTGTCAGTTTCTTTATCTTCGCTTTTCGCGGTTAGCGTTACAGCCACTTACAAGGTTTTTGACTTATTTTGTATAGTAGACGTAAAAATGACCATTTGAATTCTAAGACTTGTCACGTTTATATTAAAAGGCTTTCAAAAATCGCTAACAGGAGAGCGAAAAAGACTATAGAAAGATAATAAAGTAAAGAAATGGTTGCCAAAAGTCACAAGAGCTTAACTCTTTGGGTTTCGTTAATTTATACAAAATTGCCACCAACAAAGTGCATACAGAGACCGAAAAATGATCAGGGTATATTTACATAAAATTAAAGTTAGACGAGTAAATAATACCTCCCTTTGGTATCCCGGAAAAGTGTGGAATTACATGTATTTGCCAAGTTTTATTGAAATCTGATCAATCGGAAATTGGGTGAAATCCATGAAAGCCAATAAACCTGAGTCATCTCGTAATTTACCACTCGTAGGGGTAGGATATTTACTTCAAATTTCAATGTTACCACTACTGATTCCCCTCCATTCCAAGAAAAAAGGATCGTCGAAATCGGTTCACAAATGTCAGAGTACACAAAAAAAATGTAGTCGAATTGAAACCCTCCTTTTTTGAAGTCTGTTAAAAATACAATACCACTTCTTACTTGAGGTCAATATTATTTAAGTCTATTCCGATATCTGTTTGCATCACTATGTTGGTGGCTCTAAGAATATTTATTGTACTCATCAAACGATATACATTCGTTGATATTCTTACAAATTATCATTTACAGTCGTCTCCATAAAAAGACCATTACGAAATTTTAAAAGTTTCCCTCAGACGTAACGCTAAAAAATTGTGACGATTCAATAATATCACAACACGAGCCCTGCATTCGTTCAAGTATCTAATCACTAACATTGTATTGATCGTTGAGTTCGTAATACTCCCTACGGAACTTCACCAAGTGCTATAAATTCAAATCGTCTTCAGATTCACTTTCGCTGGAGTCCTTCAAAGCTTTGTTGATCTCGTCTTCAATTTCAAAAGCACTCTCTGTCTTTTCATCACTAGCCAATTTATTATACGCCACGTTAATATTGGAGCTGTAATAGCTAAAACCACACCTTCTCAGAAGGAAAGCGACAAAAATATACAAAACAATGAAACCGATTATAAACAAGACAATGGACAGGCCGATGTTAACTTTGTAATGCCAATTAGCATTGTTTATGTGGGGTAGTAATGTTTTAGGGTAGCAGTAGACTTTTGTTTCGATGCCAGTGTCATTGTAAAGTTCTGCGTCGTCGAGGCAGGAGACGCATTGACTGTTGTGGGGACCTGAGCACGTGGCACACGTGTAGTGACATGGAAGACAAATGAGAGGGGCTTTAACTTGAGTGTTTCCCTCGGGTTCCATGTCCAAAGCTTCTGTAGCTGTCGGCCTACCACCTTGCCGCTTCATTACAAGAGGGGCAGGAGTGGTTCCTTCTAAAATGGTAAAATTACGACGTCTTGAGCTGCGCTCGGTGAGCACCTCACTGGCGTAGGTTCCGTCCGGACACCGTCTGTAGCATCGACCGGCGTACAAGTGCAAACCCTTCGCGCATTCTAGTGAAAGAAAGAGAACAAAGACATTTAATTACATAAGTATAAGAGAGCCAGATAGAGCCTCCACCACCCAGCACCTTCTTCCATGCAGTTGCGGTCTCGCCAGCAGCCCACGATGCAGCAGCCATCCGATGACGCGATATCAGTACGCAAGAGGATGATAATAGTTCAGGAAATACGAGGACAGGTAAATAGAATCTTGTCGCTGATCTCGTTAATTTTGTTTTTCAAACCAAACAAAACTTTATGTTATGAATATGAAGAGAATAAAGAGAAAAAATATGTTAACGCAGCGCTACTGTCATTTATGTAACGATTTAATAACCTAATGTCAACGAGCAAAAACAAAAACTAGTATCATAACGCAAGAAAGTGTGCACAAAACATAAAACGACATGCACAAGAAACAAAATTATTGAAATCAGACGTGAATGAGAACTAAAAACAAGACAGAAAGAGAAGAAATGAAAGAAATAGTGAATGAAGGAAATAAAAAGATCAATATTATCTTTCATGCATGGCAGAAGAGTTAGAAGCGAACAGAGCTGTTCAAGTTAGTGCTCAAGCGTTGAAGCAAAGCGACACATCCACAAGGTAAGTGACAATACTGTGAACTAAACCTAAAGTTTGTATAAACAAACGATTTGCAACTAACTGCTATTTTAATTACAAAAAGAAGCCCTATACGATCAGAGACAAGACTCGTTTCATTGTATTGTTCTAAAATGAAAATTCCGGATACATTTTGTATTAAAAGATTGGTTTTATTATTATTATTATTATTTTCCGTTCACATAGTCTCAATATATACAAATTATGCATCGACATTTACATTTAATAAATACATTCCATTGTGTTGCTACTTAACGCCGATTACGAACAATTTTACATTTATACAACAAATCTGTTACAAAAATGAGCTTTTTTACGATTTCACTTAATTCGAACGATAGTTAAAATTAGAACAACGACATTAATTAATATTTTCATTACAATATCCCAGATTTAATTAAATATGAATTTGGACAGATTTAATCTATTCGTAATTATCATAGTGGTAACCGGACAGAAGAAGAGAAGGATGTTTTCATATCTCTCTTTTTTAATAAAAAAAAAATATTTAAAAGAAGACTTGGCTTCATTATAACAAAATACACAAAAGACTTGGCTGTATAGACAGTATCCTTTGCCTTTCCCAGGTTTAATTATCCACTCAGTTGGCGGGGCTTTTACAGTAAAACTTTGTGGTGATTTCCTATTAACCTGACCTGACACATCTTCCCACGGCACATCTATCATTAAAACAATCCACTATCATTATAAATTGATAAACAGAATTCTAGAAATTTACGTTCGAAAGTCGTAGAGTTTGTTTTAGGAATAGAAATGCCGTAGTAAGTTTTTAGATAGATCAAAAATGACCCTGTTTAGTAATGACGTGTTTCTAAATGTTATTTAACTATCACTCGATGTGAAATCGTGTTCGTTCAGTCGTTTTACAATTTACACATGAGCAAATTTGTACAAGTCTCCAAATTTATACCGTTACATTGCTACCTAGTTACTATTTACAGTTCACCATATTTATTAGCCTACACTAGATGGATTGGCAACCTTCGCAATGATCACAACCACAATATGCAATTATCATTCAATAATTTACGTAAACATGAATTCTAATTTGCAATTACAATCCATTCGATAGCAGAATTTTTGTTCGATAATACATTGAAAATGCTCTTTACATAACGTAAATAACCTTTGGACCCTGAAATTGTGCTGGTGTTGACTGTTGGTTGGCGTCAAAAGTTTTTGTTGTCGCCAAAAGAAATTTGTTGTCGTTCAATTTCTCACAATTTTCGTGATGAGGGTGCAAATAGAAATTGTCTCTTACAAAAATTTTAATCAAAATTGCTCTCCCTTTGAAGTAGGTTGCCGCCACTATTTGTTTTTATTCCTATTGAAACATTCGTTCAGAAACATTTTTGTTATATAATTTTATAGCTGTCTAGTTTATTTTTAATATTTGTTTTACAGTATTGGAACAAATCCATAAAGCCAAAACTTCAACAATTTAAACGCTAGACTTGTATATTTTTATTTATCTATGCCTACAACCATCATGGACATAGCTTAAAGGTAGACGTCCACAGATCCGCAGCGCACGCTTCAGACGGATCGGAGACGGCTCCGTTTGTGGCAGTGCGTCCACTGTACCCGCAGCAATCGGATTGCAAAATAAATATCAGACATTTCTGACTAATTTAAAGGACATAAGTTATAATTTTGGGACACAAATTTTCCTTATAAATATAATAATAGTATGCATTTGTGTATTGTTTTTTCTTTTAATAATGCTTTGTTTGTACAACCTATACATGCTATCAGACTTTTCTCCCATTGTAGACGACTTGCGTTCTTGCTAAGCTTTCACCTCCTACAATCGTATCTTCATACACGCCTGTTTATTCTTGATACTTTTAACTTGGCCTTTTTTAAAAACAACCCCAATCTGATCGAGATATGTACGTCGGCGTCTACCTCTCCCCACGTTATTATCCAATAGCAAACATAAATGTTTTGTAATTCGTTCTGTCCTATTTTCTTGCTTGCTTGTTCGTTCTCTTTGTTCCATTCTAAAATTCAATCTGTCTTTTTTTATCATGTGACTAAGGAAAGTAGCAAGTTCTGGGAATTATGTAGTGGCGGCAAACATGTATTTCTTCGTGCACTGGGTCACTAACATTAAAGGAAAACATACTTATTTTCAATTTAGATTTTGCTATCACGAACAGATTGTACATCAGCAACAATTTAACAAGAAACTTAGCATAAAAGATATGTATGTTCATAATAATAACAATATTTACGTTAAAACCTATAAAACTATATTTAATTTAGAACAAAAATATTACTAAAACATTGTAGGAAACAAAAAAATATATAATTATTTTAAAAAATATTTCCACTTAAACCATTATTTGAATAAATAACAAAGTAGCCATCGGAATAAATGCGAACAATTTGGTATCGTTAGTTACTATAATTATTTTTTTAAACTCGTTATAAAATTGGACTAGTGCAGTTTGAAATTATGTTTCATTATGAGTCTAGAATATTTAATTCAAGCGGAATACTATCTAAATATTCAAAGATATGAACCTTATTTTTCCGGACTTAGGGTGCCTTTAAATTAAACGCTTGCCGAAGCGCTGCGATCCTAAATATTGCTTGAAAATTATAGTCGTCACAATGTTAGAAGATCAATTTGACAGCTAAGGTAGACGATAGTACGGAAGTTTTAATGGAATCAAAGAAATAGTAAACAAACAATTATTAACTCATTGGGTTTTAAAAAATACATAATTATTTTTATCAAATAAAATGATCAAGCATAATTTTCGCACAAATTCCGAAATAAAATGCAATTTCGAGTTAAACCGAAACGTCTTATAAACAATAGTCTTCATTCTACTTTTTTAAATAGTGTTGTAACCTTATAATAACGCATAGAATGATAGTTTAATATCAAACGAACTGTCACAAGTGAGGCAAAAATCGAATTCATGTAGGCTAGTTTTAGTAGAAGGTTAATTTTCGGTTTTAGTGAATATTTATATAAAAATGCAAGTTGAAACGCGTTACTTCCTTGTGGAATGTGATGTCAGTATCTATTTTATGTTTGTCTGACGTATTTTTACACTCAGTTACCGCACATTTCGTCATTTTTAGCTAAAATTCTTGATCTGTTCGCGGTGCAAGTTGACCTTGAGCCCGGTCGTGTGGGCCCATTGGGCGCGCTTCAATTTGCCTCACTTAACGTGTGCGGACTAGGTTTCTATGCGTTATTATTCTAAGGTTGTAACCAATTAATCGCCGAATTTCACCGAGTCAATTCAATTTCACTTAAAAAACATTGATAATATGGTTGAAAACCAAATATTACACATACAGGTGATACTAGCTCAACTGATGATTTTGGCTCATCTTCCGATGAAAGTGAATACAAAATTTAAACTATGAAGTCTTTTTTTTTGTTTTGCTTCAGAATTTAGCTATTTAACTAGGTACAACCTGTGAACTTTGTTAATGTACCTAACTACATTACAATAACAACTACAGGTTGTCATTGTAATCATTCCAAATGCTTACTCATTATTTATGTTAAACTCTATATTGATTAAATAAATGTTAATTGTTCTATCTACAACTGAAAACTAATGATCCGAAATATAACCTAAACAATCACAGACTCATAAAATTTTGGATTGATTTTTCGTGAGAGTCGTTTAACATGGTTACCGATACGTTTAGTTCACATTCCTATTTACGTTGAGATGACAAGTGTCAAAAGGTGCCTCTTATGTTGTGACGACTATTTGGTGCAGCTGCAACGCACCGATGGCGCCACTGCGGCGCCACTTTATGAGAATGAACCATTGACTTACAATTATATGGACGTCGGGTCCGCGCTAAAAAGTGTCCGAACTTATAGGGAGTTAAAATCGTATAGAGAGCGTCATTCACGCTTTAGTCTTCGTTTGTTCGACTGACAGCGAAGCAAGCGAAATTAGACAGTACTGCGATGACATTGCAATTTAAATTCAACGTTTTAGCTTTTTCATACTCCTTTATATGTCACCACGTTTAAATAGGTTGACTTGGGACATTTTTTTCGTGGTTTGTGTATTAGACCCGTCGTCCATTTATTTGCAAGTCAATGGAATGAACAGTATAAAATAACCTTATTTCAGTGACGTACGTACTTGTGATAACAAATTACTTCAGGAAAACGTAAAAAGAAAAATTATGCTAAATTAAATTTTTTACCCCAAGCCTTTTGTTATCATGAGCTCAACGGCCTTCAGCTAAAACGTGGATCTTTACATCCTGTGTAAGGTCCAACAAAATTAACTTCGGTAAATTCACGAGAATAGCCGTTGTTCTACACAAAGTTCATTTTGTTTGGCGATAAGGGCGTCCATAATAAAAGTTGTGTGGTTTGAAACAGCGTAAACTTGCTCCTGAAAACGGTTTTAACTAATTTTGTTAGACCTTGTACTCGTAACGGAGCTACACAAACGAAGCGATTCATTTTTTCCAAAAAATAAAAAGATTCCGTTGATTTTTCCACAATGTCTTTACGACCGTTCAGTCCCATTCATACAATTTTCATGAATATCGTGCAAAATGGACGTTATTTGAAATAGAACTAATTACAATATTTTTAGGTAATTGCACTTGTTCTCTAGCTCTTAATTTTTGCCGATTTTACGAGTGATTTCTTCTTTTTTCTTGTCTTAACAAAAATATTTATTTAAAAATTTAGTACAGCGACGCGGCGGGCCAGACAAAACGCCCACAAACTACCACAGTCGACATTGTTTGGAACATAAAAATGACGTTAATTTTTCAATAAACACTTTGGACCGATGCATCATTGTATGGCTCACCGCAAAGTTATATTATAACTAACTAATATGTATATATATAATAAAAAATTGCCTATGATTTCTGTTTCCACAGACTACAACTTCTTCGGCCTATGTGTAATTCTACTAAACTTCATTTAATCTTTTCCCAGGGTGCCAGTAACTCAAATGTAAAATTTATTGTAATAAAAAATCTAGACACCTGCCTACGCAGGTCAATATACAATAAAGCAAGACGACCTGAGTCTGCGACAACCCGCCGACAATTTGCGCTGGCACTGCCTAACACTGGCACGGTACAATATGGCGGCATAACATTTATCCTTAATAGACGTACTCTATATTTTTATCACAACATAGAACATGAAATTATTTATCGAAATATATATTATAAATAACTTCTTTTTTCATCAAATTAAATTACGCCATTAACGATAAAGGAGATGGTATTACCGCAACAAAGCAGTCCGCTGGCACCGGTAGCTTTGTTAGTGTATCGCCCGTTACCCAGAAAAGATCAAACAAACTTTTCTTCAGAAAAACCTTTAGCAGAAAGTTAGTAGACCGAATCTGTTTATACGTTATTATTTCCCTAAGTAACTTATTAACATAATTCACATAGCCAAGAAACTTTAGTATGTTAAGTTGGGAAAAAGGGTACACTGAAATTTATGTACGCATCTACTAATTCTATTGTATCTATTTTACTTTATGGACTTTCAGTGGCATGTTTTTAAATTGCTATTCGGTGCTTTATGCCAACAGTTTTCGGGTCTCAGCACGATCAACGCCAACGTTAAACCAAGCGTTATAGTTCAGATAATGTATATACCATATAGTGCATGCGGAGACAGAAAAGGCTTCCTGAACACTTTTTCGCTTATATATATAAGGTAAAATAGCCTTGTGCTAGCATTGTTTTAATCATTGGCACCTTATAACGTGTGCCAATAATTAAACTTAAAGTGACAATAATTGGGTTCCTTGCCCTAACTATTCAATGACCATATGCTCACAATGTACCTCCCAAAAACGACAAAGTTGTCAAAATTAAGTAGAAAACATTTTTTATTTTAGCTACTTAAAATAAGCTAAGAAATATTTCTCCAGCTGTGGCAAACATGAAATTCTGACAACGCGGATTGTATTAACAAAATAATGCGTGGACATTAAATAAATACACAGACATGAACAAGTTAAAATACATAAATAAACAGCTTGTACTTCAAACCTTACGTAACCTGGTTGTAATTAACTAAAATCATATAGAAGTACTAGGGCACCATCTCCTGCTTTCTTCTGCAGTCTCTATGGGGTTCAGTATTGTTTACATTTGTAGTTACGTCTATATCTATGTTTATATATGTAGCAGTTAGTGCATATTCGCGTTTTAGTCTACAGGGCTTTCTGCTTTGCGGGGTGGGGGGGAGCAAAGCGTCGACCCCTGAGAGGAACAGGATTAGTAGGCACAAACCTAGGCAGTGTGGTGGTGACGGGGCAAGTGTGGCGCACCCGCTGTGGCCGGCGTATTGGCGCCCCGCGCCAGGAACGCCCGCCTCGACGCCTAGACTATCCTCGCGAATCTAGAAAAAAAAATTAAAATGTAATAGTAGTTTATGCGACTGTTACATAATGAAAGGCGTTAAAATACGAGTGTGGGTTTATGTTTCAATGTCTAATTATCTACAGTTACATACACTGCTTTATCTATACACATATTATAAGCTCTCTATGATGTGTTCAGGAACCGCATGTTACGACTGGCGAAATGGCGGCAAATAAAAATTTTTCTCACGCATGTCACGCAACCGTAGTTTTTTTTAAATGAATAGACAAACTGGAGTCGGCCCCAACTATCATATCGTTCGATATCAAGTAACGTGTGAAATTTGTCAAAATTATTTGCTATCGACATTTGATTTCGAATAAAACTTCATCTCGACTGATATTAGAATTGAGGGCCAATCAATTGTTTTGTTTTTCAGAGATATTTGAAATTTGAATGTAATAATAAAATTTGACCAATAATAACATTTTCACAGATAAGAAATTTGTAAAATATTTTATATTTATGCTGCTCGTAATTTGCGGTTTTTGAATACATCATAGAGGGTTTATGATATGTATGTCGATAAAAATAGTTATTTACTGCATACAGTCATTCTGCCATTAGTTTGCAGTGTTAGTAACTAGCGACCGCTTGAAAACGTTTGACAATTGTCTATGACAAGATGTATTAAAATTTGCCATATAATTTTCTACACGATCGATTGTACAAGTTAACTTTAAATATTTAAGTGTCGCGCATTTATCATGATAAAAGCCATCACTGTCGTATTTTTAAATGAATGGATAGAGAATCAATCATGCTCGGTATCAAATGCATAGAAGACTAACTAAAGCTCACTTTACTTATTAATTTTCGTAAAGAAATAGTATAGTTACGGACCAAAACATATGCCACGCGTCTTATGGATAATTCTCGCGTATTCTCGGAAATTGCCGAAGTTACCTAGTAGCTAGGTTGTACATTAATTAAATCAAACAATTTTATAGGTTCGAAGCAATGTAAATAGAGACTAAGTTTCAGAGCATAGGAGAGAATATGAAAGCTAAAACGTGATGTCAGATGGAGCAAAGTGACAATCGAATGGTGGTCAAGAAATGATTATAGAAACGTGAGACGTTTTTCAGCAAGATGAGCAGACGACGTTGTCATAGTTGCGGGCCGTAGACAGCCGAGGCTAATACAGACCGTGGCAGATGTTATCAACTACGCTGTTGTCCTTGTCATAACTATATTCCGCCTCCGTTCAACCATTTATTTAACTTTTGACAGCTCGATTTTAATCAATTAGTGACATCCTAATGCGTTTCCGATTTGATTTTTTATAACAATCGATTTTATTTACGAAGAAGTTTTAATCGTGAATGTGAACGGGTTCAAAAGAAAAGATATTGTCTGATTGGGATCAAGATGTTATGTTTGACAATTTCTGTACTCAAGAATTAATGTTAACGAGGATTCAAGTGATGATTCCCGTTCATATGGAGAAGAATCCGATAATTCATTGTAATAAACAATAAGAAGTCATTATAATTATTCATAATTTATTTATTTTCATTATAATTTCGCACTGCTATTACAATGGTGTTATAACACAAAATGTGTGAAATTCAAGATTGTACCATTGTTTAGCGTAAAATTTGATTCTCTACATGACAATAAAACCGTCGTTAGAATATTGTAAAAAACAAGTAAAAGATATCTACTTAACTAAAAATGACACGGGGATTTCGCTCTGGACCTTTTGGAGGGAAAAGTGTCGTGTTTATTTTGACTTTCAATTATTTTGTGAAATCTAGTTTAAAGTGGAATAGGATTGCTATTGTGCCTTAATAGAAGATTAAAACGCGAAATTATACGAATCTCGAACTAAAATACCCGTATCGGCCCGTTCTAAGGAATCCCGAGTCAATCCAAACACGCCGCCTCAAATTGCCTATCCCCTTTGTGGCGGCCATATTTACAGAAACATAATTAAACGAAGACATGGCTCAAAGGACTTGTATCCAAGCCAAAATTATTTATTAAATAGAAAAAATCAAAATGACACACGCTTTATGTGAGCTAGTTTTGTCCAAAATATCCTTATTCAAAAATATAAAATCATTTTTTCTCTTTTATTTTTAAATATCTATATTTGGCAAGTAGGAAATAACCTATACATAAATTTATACAGATCTTTCACGGGAAGCGATTAATTTGTTTTTCGTCGATTCTGAGAAAGTACACTTTTTGAGTTAATACTGTATTAACAATGCTATTTATTAGACAGGTTTATCAACTTGAATAATCTTCGGTACATAATCTGTATGCTCGATAAACATCGGAGCTAAAGACTACGTCCCTTCACTAAAATAACAAACCCATAATTACTGAACTTTGGAGGCACTCATATGTCAAAAGTTAATTTTTAAAAGTTAAAAATTTCAAATACGCTGATTTTGCTTAAGGCGAGGTATTTGGATGCGAGCCATGATTTTAGGAGGTGAGGTGTGGGGGGTCATCCCTCGCGACCCGCAATCCGCGCGCTTAATATTAATTAAAATGAAATAAAAACCAAGATCCGACGTCAACAACCGCACGATGACGACTGATGGGGCAACGGGCGGCGTGGCGTGGCGTTAAACTACTAGGCAATTTTCTAAGTTTTGGGATAAATGTAAATTTAATGACTATAGGGCTTGAACACCAAAATTCAACAGGTTCTGTGTAGTACTTAAACAAAAAAATATTCATATAAAAATTATGTGCAAAATTACATGTTTTATTCTTGAACAATTCGTTTTAAACTTTTATTTTCGCCTGGTTTTGAGGATTTTACATGATCGGATAAAGTACATCCTATCGTGTAACACTTTAGTACATTCTTTAGATAATATCCTTAGGTATATCGTATATTTCTTGTAAGACCATTATTTAATTGTAAATACAACAGTTTTTCCCACTTGTTCTCCGCCTTAACAACAAAACGGAAACTAAATGACATATAAAAAAACGCTCGTAGGGCTTGTAGATCCCATTACGCTGGTTCCTGTGGATTGCGTCAGTTATGATAAGGAGGATACGTTAGACCTACACCAGAAGGTTACGTCGAGCTGTGGAACATGACGATGCAACATTAGGACCCCTTACAAGTGTGATGAATGATTTTTTTAAATATTTTTTTACGTTTTTATAAGTTCACGTCAAATATAATTTTTGTAACGATTTATTTATAAAAAGATCGAACAGAAACAAATATGTTATCGATCTGATGGAACCTGTGCAAGGAAGACAAATCTGTAACACAATTAGTAAAGCGGTCAAAGTCATAGAATCATTTATTACACAGATAAAATAATTTTACATTTGAAACCGTATTTTTTAAGCTAGGTACTGCTCGTTCACATGCTGACTTCCCTGAGAAGAACGAAAGAAACACTAGGAGTGGTCTTTTGAAATGAACTTAAATGCTATGGAATACACTTCGAATCAAATTTGTGTGGATTCTAGACTCTGTCGTCTTTCGAAAGTTTTGTTTGTCGTTGGACGACTGTTGCGTCTAGCCTGTTCCCATATCACAACTATCTGTCGTGACTGTGTCGTGGACGTTCGTGTTATCGTTGAACGACTGTCGTGTCTAGCTGTTCCCACTAGATCATGACGACAATTTATCGGTTCACGGCATGTTGTTTTTTGCACGAGAGAATTGTTTGAAGCTGCGATTCTGTCGTTACATTTTTATCGTGATGTTTTATTTATCGTCAGACGACTGTCGTTCTAACTCTTCCCATTGTCACGACAGTTTGTCGTCGCAACGTCATAAAAATTGTGAACGACAGTTAATCCTATTGTACTCTATGTGAACAACTTAATTTAAATATACAAGCCACGACACTTTAAACTACACGACTATCTGTTGTTACGACATAATGGGAACGCGCCCTTACATATAGTCTTCAATGTTGTGATATAACTTGTCAATAAAAATAGTTTTAACGTAAGTTTTAAACTTAGTAAATGATAATTTTAATATATGCTCAGTTATCTTACTGTAAAAACGTATACAGTTTCCGCATAAGACAATCGTTTACCTTAGTTTAAATGCAATCGTAGTACCATGAGTTTGGAGTTTGTTCTAAAGTTAATATTACGGATATCTGCTTTCTTAATGAAATTACATATATTTTTACGGGCATACAATATAGTAAATAGTAGGTGCCCTAGATTGGCAAAACAGACATGTTCAAGTGAGATCGAAGGAATTTTTCTGTTACCGAAAAGTGCGCAAAACCGGATTCATCACCTAGTTTGCCACCCTAAGGCGATTATCACACTGCATCGCGCCCCGCGACTGAGCGCGTGACGCGGAATCGCACGCGCGGTGGCGCAGACGCAGATCTGCGTCAACGCGCGGTTTAATATGCGCGAGGGCAGCGGTCTAGCGGCCCCGCGTCACTTAAAGTACTCGCTTCGCAGTTGATAGCCGTAGTGATTGTATATGTAGTCGAGATCCTTCTTTGACAAGAATGGTTATTAATACAGAAGTCATTCAGGACGCTGCAGTTATACTGTCTATTTAGTTTTTGTTTACTCAAATGAGAAGCCACCGAAGATATTGTATACATCCCTTTTTACGAACCAGATCGATAAATGGATAATTTCAACTTCATTATAAAGATTTAAGAAAATATGAAGGTAAATTTGGTCGAGTTTCAATAGCAAATATAAATTTATCGATGTCGAGATCTGTTATAGAAAATTGAACATTAATGAATGAATGAAGTATTCTTTATTGCACATAAAATTACAATTAAAATACAATACAATAGCTTAAGTATAATAGTAGTAGTAAGTTAATGTGCAACAGGCGGCCTTATTGCTATGTACCAATTTCTTCCAGGCAACCTTAGGATAGACATTTCGGATATGCAAAAAGGGGTGCAACCAAAGAATATCATCGTAAATACACTACATAATAATAATATACATACTAATAATATTAATACATACATAACAATAAATATACAATAATATTAAATGCTTATATACTTTTAAAGGAAAAAGAAAAATGAAGTATAAATGTAGGAAATAAATGAAAGGATAGTAGAGGACAGACGAAATTTAGGTGTTGAGGAAGTGCTCCTTGACACGTTGTTTGAAGGAATCAAGAGAAGGGGATCGTCGAATCGATTCAGGGAGAGAATTCCACAGTCTGACCGCAGAAATGGTAAAAGAGTTGGAATAAAAGTTAAAGGTATGAGAGGGCAAGTTTAGTATGAGAGTGTCAGAGGAGCGAATGGGACGGCAGAGTGTAGAAGAGTGGAAAGTAAAGCGATTTTTGAGATAAGAAGGCGTAAAGGGATAGAATAGAATTGATAGAGAGGTGAAAGCATATGAAGATCTCTACGCTGATGGATGGGCGGCCATTTAAGGAGTGCGTGAAATTGGGAGACATGGTCAAATTTACGAAGTCCGAAGATGAACCTAACACACATATTTTGGAGCCGCTACAGTTTATTGAGCAGAGTGACTGACAAATCCGGGTAGCAAACATCTGCGTAGTCCAGTATCGTGGCAGTTTTAGTCGACAAAAAGGTTTTAAGCCTTCTCAGAGAGAAATGCACATTAAACGCCTTCCCGCTAAGCTCTTCCTCAGCAACGTGCGGCTTTCAAATCAGACATTTATCAAAAATTACCCTCAAAATTCCTGACTGTTCAACACGTTCTTAAGTTCAATACGTTCTTGAGTGTGAACATGTTCTTAAACTTAAAAATTTTAAACATTAGTTCGGAGCGCAGTGTGCCATACCCTGAGGTTCGCTGCGTCCCCGCGCGGAGAAGCGTTGTCAATATGTTCGACGGCGCGTGTTTTCCATACAAACTCATGTACTTCCGTACAAGGTTAACGCGGGGCACGGTGCAGTGTGATAATCGCCATAGAGGTAGAATAATTTCTTCAAATTTAAATGAGATAAATACTTAGTTACCCTCTTTCCAACAAAAAAAAAGAATCATCAAAATGCAGGAGTAATGGCGTAACAAACCTATAAAAAAATTGTCGAATAGAGAACCTCCTCTTCTATGAAGTAGCTTAAAAATAATAATTTCAAGATAGTAAAACATAATACCCATACATTCTATATCGCTTAGTTAGATTCTTAGTAAATTATTTCACGATATCAAGATGTTAGCTTCATTGTCACTGATTTAAAATTTCAAGTAATGAATATTATTATCAAGTGAGAGTGCGGTGGTTGCCCTGTTTTTTTTTTATCAAAAAAATACTATTAAAGAATGTCTTCCTATTCTTTTAGTCATTATCATTAGTGTCATTACACGTTAAAAAAGAAAGTGAAATTTTTAAAAGATAACATTACTGCGTTAAATATATAATTGAACTAACTACATAGTTAAATTTGTTTTTAGTGACGTACACATTCAAATCATACCGGTTATTTCTTCACTTCCTTTTTCGGATCAACCCAAATATCTGAGGCGGAAAGATTTCATTTACCGAGAAATAATGTTACTCTTGTCATAAAACAATAGAACAGCAACCTAAAAACAACGTAACCCTGTTAAAAGTACACTAAAAAAAGTAATAGGTGAAAATATAGATGTAGTGCCCCGCCAAGTTGTGAAATTACAAACCACTAAATCTACTGACAGTACAAATATTAATGTCGATGCTAGCACCCCCATATCATTCCCAAAAATAGTTTATTGCAAATCAAATAATCTTTATTATATAGGTCAGCAAATTACACTTGAAAACGTTGCAGTGATGAAACCCTAAAGCTCATTCGTAAATCAGATTCCACTGAGAAGAATGAGTAAGAAACTGTAGGAGCTACCCTATCATTGACAACATTTATTTCAAACCTCATAGATCAAGACAATCTGCAAGAGCTAAATGGGTCACTACCACGGATTTTTGTCATTCAGATACGCAGAAGCTGTATAAATTATCTTAATTATACATTTTTACTTCACTATAGTTTTATACCTTGAGAATAGCAAATTTTTAATACCAACTGGAATCTTGGTAGCTTACCAATAACACAGTCAATGTCATACTTAAGACCGTTCTATTCACAGGGAAATATGGTATAATAATGAGCAGTCACTAGCAAACTGCGTTATGCGTATGGAGAAAAAAATAATATACCAAAGATAATGGCGGCTCAATACTGCAGCGTTTGCAGGTTGACGACAAAATGGCAACTTTTCAAAGTGTAACATTAAGAAAGATAGCGAATTTTGCAAGAATAGTTATCATTTTACACTGATTTGTTCAGAATATATCAAGTTTTGGCACTGTATTGTTGAAGTATTATTTAAAATACTGATGCATTTGACGCCATTAACTAAAAGCCATTCAAAATGTCATATAGCGCAGTTTGCAAGTGGACTACTCAATTTGATAGTGTAGCTAAGTTGAGCCTTGACAGCATACTTAGAAACAAGTGCAAAATTTAAATATGGGTATTGTTCCAAAATAATTATATTTTCTTTTAACATTAAATGGTAAAGCAAATAGCATTCCCACTACAAACTGTGACAGTTAAAATAACAGCGCTCCTTAGCTGCTCCGACGAGCAACAATTAACGGAAAAATATGGCCGACCTTTCCAAACAAATGAACATTCAGGTGCAATTATTTGCCGTACGTGTCTGCTCATAGAATAAACCAGGAGATGGGACACAATTGAAAAGGGTAATAACATAAAAAAATTAGAACAATTCTCACGACTGTTTCGCCGTAAATTGCTGTAATAGCTCTTGTGGAGCCAAAGCGGCGTTCTTTATTCTTCACTCTCAACCCATGTTTATTTAAAGAGCTTCTTTTACGACTTAAGATGACACAGCATAAAAGAACAAAAGCACTGTAGGACTCAACATCCGAAACCAATTATTTTATGTTTTGATGGTCAGTGAGTTTAATAATAACGCAACTTTGAAGGTAAATATTATAAACTATGAAAGACATAAAATTGTCATTGATCAAGTACTGTCACTATCAGAGACAGGATTTTTTCCTTGTGAAGAGTTCCTACAGGCAAGTACTACCACTTTACCTATTTCTGCCGCCAAGCAGTAATGTCAGCATTACTGCGTTTCGGGTTTAAAGGGTTAAGGGTGATAGTGAAATTATAGGCACATGAGACTTATCGTCAACTTATACCTCATGTTGACTGGCGCTGTGGCAATGCCCTTCAGATTTTTGTGATTTAAAGCAGTCAATAGCACTGCAACTGTTTTGGACAGGCGAGTCACATCTTTTTCATCCCATAACTAGGTATCTTGTTAAAAATGCCTTGATTTGTTTCAAGAAAATAATAAATGGGCGTATTTTTTCGCCTTGACAGGTGCACTACCGCGCCCTCAGGTCTTTCACAAAGCACAAAAGATAGACTGAGTAGCGTGAGTGGAATATTTATTTAATTTCAAAAAATATTCACCCAAATTTTGAAACTTCAACAAGAAATGTAATTAAACGACTGAATACGAAACAATGACAATAAGTATAAATACAATTGGTATTACAAATTACCCCATTACGTGCACGTATGTGTTATTATTACTTTTAATAAGCGTCTCTAATTACTCAATAAAACGTAATGTGCTCTGTTTCAGACCATCCTAATAATATAACGGTCGTAATATTTATTATATAGAGTTCTTAGTTTTTCTCGTGTACTACATTGCAAATGTAGCTGTTAACAAGTTGTTTAATAGTAATGCAAACCACTAAACTGCAGTTGCAAAAATTATTAATTTAATGAATTGTAACAGCTTTATTTAAAAAAGAACAACCTCAAAAGTTTGTGGAATTACATCTATTTGCCAAGTTTTATTTAAATAGGTTAGAGGAAATTGGGTAAAACCCAATAAACCGGAGTCATCCCCTAAATTGTCATCCTTGGAGGTGGAATATTTTCTTCAAGTTTCAACGGGACCACTATTGATGTACCCCCGTTCCAATAAAAAAGAAACAGTTCATAAATCTCAGAGTACTCGCATAACATATACAAAAAAAAAGTTAAACATTTTACGGAACGAACCAACGGACCTCACGAATTTCTGTATGTGCTTGCGTCGTGTCTTTGTACTTGGTCTTTCAACGACTTTTTAGACGTAGCGCCATCTATGAAAAATCTTTGACAGATTTATCACCCAGTTAGTACCTTTACAGCTACCAGTCCTGGCGAGAGATGTCGCTATTCACTGTATTAATTAAATTTTTATTGAATTGTTGAGTGTTTTTTCTGAGTGTTCGATCTTTGTATTAATAATTATAACCAACTAGTGGAGTAATTACACAAAAAAAATAATTGACTATCAATTCAATAAAAATTTAATTAAATACATTTTATTTATTTTGTAGGACTATAGTAAATCACCAATTTTAATAAAAAGTACTTACAGCATTAGAATCATGCCAGACCAAAGCCAGGTCATCATCTATGGTGTTTTGTCTGGCTTCCTCGACTGACTCCGGCTCCTCAGGGTTCCACGGAGGTTTGCTGACGCTCACCGGCACTGCAGAATGTAAGCCAGAGTTGCCATGCTGCATCTTGATATTGGTTCCTAAGGAGTTTGTGTTTGGCTGTGGTATGTCCTCTTCATGGGGTGGTGTCTCTGTTCCATAGAAGATCAGCTCCCATTGAGTCAACGGACCAGCTGTGTGGATAAAAATTCTTGTTTAGCATAGGTCTGGTATTGGTGAACTAAGACAATGGCTTTGACTACAAAGCCATTGTCTTAGTTCACCAATACCAGACAGATATACTAATATCTAAAGGACTGACTACATGGTTGAGTTTCCTGGTAGTGCGTACTAAAATACGTATCAGGGACATACTCACTCAGTGCGATCATATTGCCACATTCACTGATAGCGTTGGATATACACACATCAAAAAGGTCTAGGTATCAAAGTACCTTTTTAAATATTTGATTACTTTATTAAAAAGGAAATAAAAAAATTACATAAATTTATTAAATTGACCCAAAAACACTTACCAATTACTGATTTTCAGTAATTGGTAAAAACGTGCTTGATTCTTTTTTTTCACTTTTGATGAGTGTATATGTAAGGAGACTTGTAAATGTTTACAATTAGAGTAATTATAATAAAAAATATTTATAATTCTCAGTTTATCACATATAAGCGTGTTGGCTATTTAGCTGTAAGTTTGCAATGCAAATGAATGAATAAATAAATTTGCTGTATAGGAGTAAACGACAGCCCATGCAAGGCGAGTGTATAAGTTATCGTTTTCTCTTACACAGGTTAAACGCACACAAATTATCTCGTGGTGTGGTTCGACCGTATATACGTGTCTTTAATAGTGGCAGCAATACAGGCCTTTCTGTCAAGATATTGATATTATTTATTTATTTATGATAGAACCATTTATTTAACTTTTGACAGCTCGAATTGTAATCAAATTAGTGATATCACTAATGCGTTTCTGATTAGATTTTTTATAACAATCGATTTTATATAAGATGAAGTTTTAATCGTGAATGTGAGCGGTTTCAAAAAAGCGGGTTCGAAAATTAATAATTAATGTTAACGAGGATTCAAGTTATGATTCCCGTTCATATGGAGAAGAATCCGACGATTCTTTATAATAAACAATAAGAATTTATTATAATTATTTATAATTTATTTCATTTCATTATAATTTATTAGACAGATACCAAAATTTATCAACTTGAATAATCTTCCTTACGTAATCTGTTGACTCGATAAATATCAGAGCGAAAGAGCACGTCGCTTCACTAAAATTAAAAAATAAGAGTCCAGGAAGTATTGCATTTTTTGTCTATGATTGTAAGTCAATAATTACGGAACTTCGGAGGCATGCATATGTCAAAAATTAAATAAATGGTTAGACGGAGTATAATCCTGTCAAATTCAACATTTGACTGACAGCAGTCGATATATTGACAGATGAACATAGATATAAATAAAAAAAGTATTACAGCCGCCTGGTGAGTCAAGTTTTAAAAATACTTCAAAACAGACGAACCGGAGTGCTGTGAGTTATCGTGTTTTGAAGTTATAAAACTGTTGTTATTGTTATGAAAAAATGGACTTTGTTTTTTCCTTAAGTGTATATAATATTAGTCAGGATAACGGTGAATGAAAACAGCGTTATGGAACCTGCATGTCAAAGAAGGTTCATAACCCTTGGAAAACTAGCTTAAACTGAGACGTAAAATGGATTCTCCACAAAGGAGGAACTTAAATATAAGTAGACATAAAAATTATATACACAATCCATAAAACTAAATCAACTACGAAGCAAAAAAAACTACAGTCTACGTATTAAAAAAATAAAATATAATTACGGCAGAACGAAAATATCCAAACAAAACAGAATAAATAGATAACAATGCCTACTGTGTTAAGCCAGGACAGTCACAACAAACAGTTTCGCCGAAACTCTTTGATTAAACAAACCTCGACTACGAAATAAAATTTAAACAATGCAACACACGGCATGCAAAGAGCGGCGGACGGCGGAACAACGGTAATTGACGTGCAGTTCAAACTAGGCGAACAAATAAAACGACGCAATACGAATCGCAGAACATGCAGCCACCCAGTAGGTAGGTACCGTTGGCTTGGAGCGGCGCTGGATATATCCGCTGGATTTTCGGGTACTGCTCGAACAGGCTGGACATTTTTCGATCTCGCGCTTCGGCCAAAGGGTCCGCCAAGTCCCCTCGCAAGTTGAGACTAAGATCTGGCGTCGATGACGTCAATTTAACGGTCGAGCTCTCTATTGGAGAGCGCGTCGCAGGCCGCTGCCGCTGTTCTTTATCGGCTCTGTTTTTTGAATTCCGATTCTGATTCTTTGAGTTCTTGTTCTTTTTTCTCTTAACCAGGCCTACGGTGTACGTAGGCATGACAGAGACAGCCTTTCCTCTGTTGTTCTTTCGTCCGGCTTGCACTACGACGGTTCTTGTTGCGTTTGCTTTATTTCTTACTATTGGGTTCCTGGATGGCATGGGGTCATTCTTGGCAGCGGGTGTGGTGGTCCCGTACAACGTTAAGGACCAATCTTGCAATGTTGCCCGACCTGATACCGAAAGTGGGTTTACATGTGCACGAATATCTCTTAACTTCAGACCAACGCCTCTCAGGAATTTTTGAAATATGTTCCCCAGTTACATAATGCTAGTTTGTTATTTTATTATTTTGACTATAGTGTTTACAAGGTACATCAGTAAAACCGGTTTGCTATCCCAGAGCATGCAGCTTAGACAAACAGTTACACAGGTTTTCCAAAAAACTATTTTTTCGGATCTACAATCGATTATAGTCTACAATCAAATGTAACAATGAGACCTGTAAAGTGTCCAACGTTGCGTTGTTTGAAAAAACAAATAGAAGCGGTTTTAGATCCGAAAAAATAGCGCAATTTCCAAATAGTTACTATTTAAGTGAGCAAATAAAGAAATCCCATTAAGACGGATAAAGTGCTTGGAGTTACAAATAATAGTCCATTCCACGTAGGCTGGATACTGTGACATTTAACATTTTGATGTTGCATATATTTAATTACTCTCATAATCAGGTTACAACAATAAATAGTAAATTTATTATAATATATCAAAAACGAACAATATTTGTTTCAATTGTAAATTAGATAGAAACTGAAATGATAAAGATAAAAATAAATTACTTCAACTACTTGATGCGTAAAACGGAATATTTATCCATAGAGATTTACACCATAGAATCGATAAATCGAATTATTGTGTATCTCGCATTAATACGTGTGCATTAATACACCTTGAATGGGATTCGATCTGGGCCTTTTTGAGGGAAGTGTCGTTTTTATTTTGACTATCAATTATTTTGTGAAATGTAGTTTAAAGTGGAGTATTATAGAATATAATAGTGCTATTGTGCCTTAATAGAAGATTAAAACGTGAAATTATACGAATCTCGAACTAAAATACCCGTATCGGCCCGTTCTAAGGAATCCCGAGTCAATCCAAACACGCCGCCTCAAATTGCCTATCCCCTTTGTGGCGGCCATATTTACAGAAACATAATTAAACGAAGACATGGCTCAAAGGACTTGTATCCAAGTCAAAATTATTAATAAAAAGAATGCTAAGTGATGTTTTTGGAGATATTTTTCAGATTTCGTTCCGTTGCTATTGATTTTATACTTTTTTTGTTGATTTGTTTGTTTGTTGTTGATTTTTTATTTGATGTGTAGTTTTTTAGTAACTAATAACGTAACAATTGATCCTTTTTATTTTGTTTATAATTTATTCTTAGACTATAGTCGCTAAATCGATTCTCTCTTCATTACAAACTATCTGGATAAGATATTTAAATCGATTTTCTTTTCATTCGATTTTACATCACTACATCTCTAGAAACTTCAAAGCTCAAACGTCACCGTACCCATGTCACGTGATATGAACTATAATACATAGATTAGTACACAAAGAGCTACGAGATATATATGTACGGTAAATACTGAACACATAGATGAATTTTATTTTATTCAGATGTACAGAGAGGAACCATAGTTACTCAAGTTATTTTAAATAGTTGAATAAGTCCCTTGTAAGCCCGCACTATTAAATTGACCAATTACATCGCTTTACTTTAGAATTGAAAGGTACGTGATTGGCCAGATAACAATTATCATTCTTACCCATATAACGTCCTTCGTTGGTGACTTCAAGTTGCCAAATGCCGAGTGGCGACTCACCCCACATGTGGACAGACATGAAGGGCCAAGAATTGAACCCTGCGCGAGACGAGTCGTGTGCTCTGTTGAAGAATGCATTAACATCAGTAATTCAAATATCAGAATACACTTTTGATGATTTTTTAAAATATTTTTATGTTTTAACCACGTTAATGATATACCTACATTTTGCAAAAATTCTACACTAATATGTTATTATTTTTACTGATACGAAAATGTAATAACAAAGAAAAATTTCCTCCAGCTGACTGGGCTGGGGGAGGCGCTAGCAAAAATACTATATGTGTTTTTAGGTTACAGTAAAACATTAGGTGCCAATATCTCAAAATGCATACGTTAGTTATAGCACGAAAGGCTTATAACGTTGTTAGTTGTACAAATAAGTTGTATATGTCTTCAGTTTGTATCTTCATCTTCAAATTCCTCATCCAATCTTAACTTGAAATTACTATTGTAATGCTATACCAGGAATCGAGTCTTCAAAAGCCAGTGCAAACTGAACACTCCCCGTGGGAACCGCACCGCTCAGCCTGCCGGAAAATTAACTACCTAATTACCACCACTCTCGTAGGAGTGGCTTGAACGCGTATAAACAAGACACAACTACAATTTACTTCGTAAGTGTCCTACCATAATTAGTGTTTCGTAATCTTAAGTAAGATTTTTTGGTAGAAGTAATTCGGCTATTTATATTTTGTACGAATTGTTATTTTTTAATGTAAAGACTTTGAAATAGTAGTAGTAGACCTCCTTGTGAAAGATTGTGTCCAGGTAAGTACTTGACATATTTCTGACGGCAAGATGGTGCAGGTCGGGCGCGTGTCGGGTTGGGCGCGTGTCGGGTCGGGCGCGTGTCGGGTCGGGCGCGTGTCGGGTCGTGCGCGTGTGGGGTCGGGCGCGTGTCGGGTCGGGAGAGCGGCGGGTGTCATTCCGTGTATTTATATGGATGACATAACACCACACGCGGGTGCGGGACGGGCGCACGTGCAAATTCGTCGTCATTTTGGATCATTAAAAAAAATTACGGTAGTAGATTAATGGCGGTAATTTAATTTTACTAACTAAACTAACAAAAATTAAACTAACTTATACCTACAGTTCTGTTGGCATGGCATGTAGAAAAACAATATAGAATGTAGAACAAAACTGGATGAACAAGCCAGAAAGAAAGTAAAAAACAAAAACCATAATTGTATTTTAATGAATAAACATTTTCGCAACGTTCTTTACACAATAATTATAAATATTCAAATGCCATTAACGAGTTTCATTTTAACTAAACAAACAAAGTCCGGTGAATAGCACTGTGTTTGGATGTTTACAATAAAAACTAACGTAAACGTTGCCGTTCAAACGCTAACATGGTAGCACTGAATTCATATTTTTATTTATAATTATAGTAAGTATTTTTACATTAACTTATTTTCTTAAACAATTGTATTTGCGTCGATGTCGTGCGCTATGTTAACAGAGTAGCAATCACTAACGATGCGAGCGGTTTCTTTTTTTTTGTTAGGTTTACCTTTTTAGTACATTCCTTGAGGAAAGAGGGGGAGGCAGAAGACTCACACACCATCACACACGCACACACACATACACAGATACACACCCGACAATTTATAACAGTAATTTACAGTTAGTTATGGATTCTGTTTTTATATTTGCCAATTGAAATTTATTTTTCTACCCAATGTAACCATAATATCACACATTTTATATGCATAGTGAGTTTCTGTAATTGGCTTTTGTACTGCCTATAACACATTTGTAAGTATAAAGATGGTGAAGACACTTTGTTCATTAAATAATGTAATAGAATATGAATCATTTATAACTACACCACAACACAAAAATACACAATAAGAAATATATAAAAAAGCTAAATTGAAACAAAATAAAAAATGAAATAAAAATAAAATCGAAACGTCGGTTTGTTTGAAAAAACAAATATACGCGATTTAAATCCGGAAAAATAGTTTCATTTCATAATAATAGATCATAAATAACAACAAAGCACACATGAACATTTAATATTCAACATAATTAGAGTAAATATATGTGTGCGGCGGTGGCGTATTCAGCAGGATCTACACGGCGAATGCTAATGCCGAGAAAAGGCTGTGACGTGGATTTTCAGTGGACCCTAAGAAATTAAAAATAAGTATCATTTACCTGGGTGCTAGTAGCGTGACCCTGGTGCCGGCGGGCGATGTCAGAGCGATGCGCAGGTCACCTCGGCGCGCGGCGGATAAGGAGACGCGAGCTTGTACGTGCTCCAAGTAGTTCACTCCAGGACACACGCCCACATCCAGCTAAGAGAAATAGGCTCTCGTTAAACATTTGTAACGGAATCCAGGGGCGTGGCAAAGGGTCGGTCCAAAAGGGAAGTAATTGCAAGTAGATCGCTTCTACTTCTATAAGTACTTCTATAAAAAGACGCAAAATGGAAAGTCCGGTAGGTACATGCGAACTTACTCGCTTAAATAACTTCCGACGTGTTTTAAAATGCGTTGTATATAGAAAGTCAATGCTATGCAATTATGGAAATATTTTAAAGTGGTACTGGCCATCTTACCTATTTCTGCTGCCAAGAAGTAATGTGAGCATTACTGCGTTCTGGTTTCGAAAGTTGTTGGTGAAATTACAGGACTTGTCAACTTATGTCTTTTTTTTTATAATATCAAGTGACGAGACGATCAAGTCGTGCGGCTGATGGTAAACTACAGATCTCAGGGGCACTGCCGCTGCGTCCGTCACCCTGAGACACAAGTTGACAAGTCCCATATGTCTGAAATTTCACCAGCACCCTAACCTTCAAAACTGGAACGCATTACTGCTGATATTACTGCTTGGCGGCAGATATATCTCAGGGTGAAAGGCGCAGTGATTCAAAGCTCTTGGTGGTACTGCAACTGTTAAGGATAGGCGTGTCACTTACCACCAGACTCACGACTTGTTCGTGCTGCAGCTGTTTTGTCTTTATCGACCGAGAAGGGGCTACAGAGACAAGAATGTGGCTCTTAAATAGGATGACGATTCAAAACGTTTTGTCTTTATATAACACTCAATAGTAATTTGGCAAAAGTTTCGTCCACGTAATCCTCTAAGCGGTAATCTACACTTTGTAGTAAACAGATAAAAAACAAAAACGTGCTATTAAAACACCTACTTCTCAAATTACTGATACGGCAAATAACAATACTTTCTACTTACAACTTCAGACGTTGTATCCCCCAACGACTCGTATGTTTGTATTCGAAGTTCTCAACTCCAATGTGAGACAGTATAAATAAGATTTGGCAAAGAAACTTTGCGAGAATCCTTTGTTTTAACAATGTTGATATATGAACACCTTGGACCAATAATGTGCCGATAATTTGATAGGTATACGTATGGATATTTTTTAAAGCGGTACCAAATACAAGGATAATTATGAGATGCGGAGAAATAGGGCCTTCAAATTAGACACTTAAAGAAGCGCTTCTTCTGTAATGGCTGCATTGTTTCGGCGTTTTGTTAAGCCGGATTTAAATCGGATTAATACCCGAAATCGAAGGGAAAAACTCTACAACTAAATATTTGTTGTAAATTGCGTTTAGTTCAAATTTAATGATATTAAATTTGAACTCCTAACTTTGAAGTTCCTGCCCACGACATTGGGCTGAAATGGGTTAAAACCCGGGCGGGTTGGTTTCAACCCACTGCCCATCTCAGGCCACTACTAATTTCCATACAATATTTAGAAGCGCAGTTGCAGCGCCACTGACAACTGCCATGACACGCGCACCACTTCGCAGTATTTTTTTTAAATCAGACTGCTATATCCTACTGCCAAGCAAAGGCCTCTCCTCTCGACTTCCACAGTTCCCTGTTTGACGCAATATTAGGCCCTTCTGTTATATATGCGTGTAAGTCATCTCGCCATCTCCTTGGTCTGCCTCGTCATCGCTGCACAGCGATGACTTAACAGTTGTAGTGCCACTCTGAACGTGAAATCGCAAAGATCTGAGGGGCACTGCCACTGCGTCCGTCACCCTGAGACACAAGTTGACAAGTCCCACATGTCTGTAATTTCACCAGCACCCTAACCGGAACGCATTACTGCTGACATAAACGGGATAAAGAGAGTTTCTATCGTTTTCTGAAAGATGAAACGAAGTAAGTAAAAAACTTATGTCTGAGACTTGTTCAGTTATTGTTTTCTTTAGTGCAGAGTAATATATAATACAGATTTATTATATCAATATAATAAGACGCCATAACTTGTGAGCTAGACAAGGCTTCCCGAATTTTCAACTTGTGTTGCCGATAAATATTACGTGATGAATATACCTAATTATTAACTAGGTAATGTTTAAACTTGGACACGCAATTTCAAATACCTTGGTTACCTTATTTAAAGGTATTTATCCAAAATGTAACATTGTAAGTGCTTTTAATGTATTTTTCAAATAAATCTTCAATATTATTCTAGTTAGTGATTTATGAAAAGTATAATATTGTATCGATACAAATAAGTAATGAACATGTGTAATTATAAGAATTCCATATATAGAATTATAGATAACAGTAAAAGTAACCCTGCCACTTCACGCACACATTTGCGCGTGTGCAGATAGCTCCTTGCTGTATGTAGTAGTAGTAGGCAAATAATTTTCGGCCGTTTTATGGAGTGTCCGGGGTGTGATAAAGTCTCAAATTCATTTAAGGGGTAATGTATTTGCTTCTATTATAAGATTCCGATTGATATTCAAAATTTGCCATTTACGAGGTTTAAAACTATAGTGAAATAAAAACTTTATACTAAAGGTTATTACACAGCTTCTGCGTACTTGGATGACAAAAATCCGTGGTAGTGTGCCGTTTAACTCTTTCCGGTATTCTCGATCTAAGATGTTCAAATTAAATATTGTAATGATAAATGTATTCAAATGTATATTTTTACAAAGAGCAACCCCTAGAGTTTCTTGCTCATTTTTCACAAGGAGTCTGCCTTACGAATGAGCAATGGAGATTAATTTTAAGGAAGAATGGGCGTAAAGGTCAATTTAGTCATTAGTTCATTGATGTGGGAGTATTAAATTTTCAAGTTCTTTTGATCTGTACTCAAAGGCTTGTTCGTCGCAAAAAAAAGTTACGTAAACATAGTTACTTATAAAAATAAAAAAGATGTAATCGAATTTGTTAATTTTTTTTTTGTATGACATTCGTCTTATAAAGTTTGTAGATTGCCTTCTTTGTAAGTTACATGGATGAGAATGTTACGTAGCAATATCTCTTGCTGACAGTATAGAAAAATATCACAATATAACTTGCACTTCGCATCAAACCACAACCCTTGGAAAACACGTGAAATCCTCTTCTATGCGCATCGGACCAGTCCATCGGACTTTGGTATCCTTAGAAGAAGTCCGTGCGTGAGAACATAGGAAAGAGGCCAAAAAAGCAGAAAATAACACCAAAGCACTTTAGTTTATTTTATAGGCAGGTTTTTATAAATCTCGCAATTATGAACACTTGGCAGTTCTAGTTTCTCTTATGCCTGTTTACGTAGTTAATTATTAGATTTATAGAAGTGTTCCGTAAATAACAAACTTTCCGTGTTCGTTTTTTGAAAGTAATGCATACATTTCCGAACATGTTTAAGTAATCAATATTTACTGGTATAGTATAACTACATCTTAAAATCATACCTGTAAAGTAACTGTGGACCTCGGTGGTACGGCTCTTTGCGGTCTTGGAGCCGTAAGTTCACACCTCTTTTGGGGCGGGACAGTCTTCCAGGTCTTTGCCAGGCGCACCATGCCGGCTGCGTCCAGCAGGCCATACCCAAAAGAGTGGCTGACGTTCCTGCCGACGCCGTTTACCAGCCACTCTCCACCCATGCTCAGTCGTTCAGGCCTGGCTGTTCTCACCACTGCGAAATTTTTAAACTAGTTAGTTATTATTTAGTTGATAATGTTGATAACTCATTACAAGATTTTTTGAAGTCAAGCTTTTTAAAAGGTAGATAAAAAGATTAATTAACACAAATATATTTATCGAGTTCTTAGGTTTTCGCGATTGTTACACATAGGAAATGAAACTATTTTTCCGGATTTAAATCGCGTATATTTGTTTTTTCAAACAAACCGACGTTTCGGGCCCTTTACAGGTCCCATGGTCACGGTTGACTGTAGCGTAAATTGGAATGTTTTCTTTGTAAAATTAAAAATAAGGTATTTAATTAATAACTATTGTAAGTATAGTGAAAAAATAGGGTGGTTTGCATTAATATTAGACATAACTGGTTGAAGAGTGTACCACCTCAGTCAACCGTGACCATGGGACCTGTCAAGGGCCCGAAACGTCGGTTTGTTTGAAAAGACAAATATACACGATTTAAATGCGGAAAAATAGTTTCATTTACAAATATATTTTTTACAATTTTTACAAAATAGGCAATATCTTAAAGGACCCATTTATTCTTCCATTGAACTTTGACCCATCAATAAAAAATTAAGATTCATTCATAAAAAAAAAATATATAATTTATATTGCACCATTAAAAATTCGTTCGAACGTGTAAATGACTGTCAACACAAGAATTATATTTAGCAATGTATATGTTTGAAATGATATGTATCCAGCTATAGGGATTTATTTTAAAAAGTAAGTCTAATCGTCTTTTGAAAGTCTATAAAAAATATTCACTAATTCTCTTATAACTTATTCATTACGAATCTATTATTACAATATTTATTATTAACTGCCTCCGTGGCCGAACGGTTACCATGCCGGACTGCCACGCAGAGGTCCCAGGTTCGATTCCCGGGCCGGGGGAAATGTTTGTATGGCCTACATTTATTTCTCTCGTGAGTTTGGGTGTAATTTGTGGTTGTCTATGTGTATGTCCATGGCACCCGCGACACAGGGTTTCCCTAGTGCGGGGCTATGTTGAGTGTGTGCGTTATAATTATTATTATATTATTATAATATCTAATCAAATTGGCTAAAAAACTATGTCCCTAGCTGTTAACCCAGGACCAAACCACTGGAATCAGGACCAAACCACTGGAATCAGGACCAAACCACTGGATTGAGCTTCATAGTCCGAAGATCCTTTCTATAGAACGTCATCACTATAATAGAATCGTATGTGAAACTATTGAAAATAAAAAACACAGTAATTTCAAGCGAGAAGACGGTTTTAAGCATTCATCGTCATAGGATCCAGTTATCAGCAAATGTAAACGACATCAAGTACCGGATGTCGTGAGTATTGTGTGTCGGCCTAGTGACAACCCTAGTGCATAAATAAATAATGAAGATCAAGTGCAGGTAGTTAGAAAAACTCGCACGGCTAGAAGATGATGACACCCGCCTCTTCAGTCCCTTCGAGACCGTAGACGTTGCAATATTTATTTATTTATTTATTTATTTATTTATTAGGCACACCAACAGTTACTACAATAAATCAAGAGTAAGTAATACATTTCACAAACTAATCTAATTGCGTAACCATTTATAGGCGAGCACCTCAAGCAAAAATAAACATGTGTGTATAAATTAAAAGGAAAAAGAAGAGGAAACAAAAAATAACAAAAACAGTTTTAACAATTCTAAGACCAAGAAACTAACTTAAAAAGATATATATATTTTTAAGCAGAATACAAAACGCAACAAATACTCGACCATGTTATCTGGTCGAACCAAGAAAAGTAAGAATATTGTTTCTAAAACCTAGCCGCGAGTCAATAAATATATCGGCATGTTTGGAACAGTCATTATATAGATTAGACTTGCGAGCTACAGGGGAGTTACAACCCAGTACCGTTCTACGACGAGGCGGGTGAAAAAGCCTTACATGAGATCTCGGAAGTCTGGCAGGAATCTTAAAATTTAAATTACCAAGCAATTGTGGACAGTCAACCTTATAGCGAACAATCTTATATAGGAAAACCATATCTAAAAGTAATCTGCGCTTCGAGAGAGACGTTATTTTGAAATGCGCAAGTCTCCTGTTGTACGATTTAAATTTTTTTGCAAGACCCACAGAGAATGACAAGTGCCATAAAAAGCGCTTTTGCACCCGTTCTAAATGTAAAGAGTTAACAGCATAGTGGGGTCGCCAAACCACGCTTCCATATTCTAGTATACTCCTAACTAAGCCGTTGTAAATAAGTATTTTCGCTCGAACGCTGCGAAAGATTTTACTATTTCTTAATACGAAGCCGAGCATCCTGGACGCTTTATTAACAGTTGAATCAATATGCGGTTTAAAAGTAAGCTTTTTATCAATTATCACGCCCAGGTCCTTTATACAGTCCACTTCAGTTAAAAAAGTTCCTTCCAAAGTATAAGCTGATGGGAAAACATGCAATCTACGAGTGAATTTAATGAAAGAGCATTTGCCAGCATTGAGAAACATGCCATTAGCCTTGCACCAAAAGCTTAACTTATCAAGGTCACTTTGTAGTAAAGGAATATCATTTGCTGAATTGATTATCTTAACTAACTTAAGATCATCAGCATATAAAAATGGTGTTGAGAATTTATAAATATCAGGGATGTCATTTACAAATATATTAAAAAGAATAGGACCAAGATGGGAGCCCTGAGGAACTCCAGAGGTAATGGTACATATGTCAGAGGAGAATCCATTTACCACCACGTAAAATTTTCTATTATTAAGGTAAGATACGAGCCACTGTAACATAGAACCACCAAATCCATACTTTGCTAACTTCTCACTAAGAACACTATGCGAAACTTTATCAAAGGCCCTGCTGAAATCGGTGTAAATGACGTCAACCTGCGCGTTCGAGTCTATAGCACCAGCAACTGTCTCCACAAAAGTCACCAAGTTAGTGGAAGTTGATCGACCTTTAGTGAAGCCATGCTGGTGAACCGACAGGTATTTACTAAAGTAATTTTGAATGCGTGGACAAACTAGGGCTTCCAAAAGCTTAGCGAACGCTGACAGAATTGAAATGGGTCTATAATTTCCTACTAGTTCATCATCACCTGACTTAAGAATCGGTACCACTTTTGCCATTTTCCATTCACTTGGGAAGATACCGGTGCTTAATGAGACATTATAAATCAGGGTTAGTGGAACAGCTAGAGACTCGGCACAATTTGAGATAAAAACTGGAGGAATCCCGTCCGGCCCAGCACCTTTAGACTTATCTAAGGACTTAAAGCACTTGCTGACCTCAGATTCGGCAATACAGAGCTTTGCGAAACAGTCAGTGTTTTTCACAAAGTCGACAACTGAGCTGTTATTATGGATGCTATCGTGAATTACTTGCGAGTTATCCTCATACACCGATTTAAAGTGGCTAGCAAATAGGTTGCAGACTCCATCACCATCAGAGCAATATATATCACCATCACTCATTACAGCAGGATAATTACTTTTACCACCCCTCTTTTGCTTAATAAAAGACCAAAAATATTTACAATTTTTAGCAATATTGGATTCTAGACATCTGACGTAGTCATTATAATTTAAACGAGCCACCTTTTCGCTTCTTGCACTTAAACAATTTAACTCAATTTCGTCTCTCGGATTCCTGTATTTCTTAAATCTCTTGCGGATTTTTTCTTTTTCAGCATAAATCTTAATGAGTGGTCTACTAAACCAAAAAGGAAAATTTTTATTTTTAGTTTTAGTAACTGGGACAAAGTTAAGTATAGTTTCATTAATGAACATATAAAAATTAGATATCATCTCATTCACATCTTTAGCCGAAGCAAATAGTTCTTCCCAGTCACAATTTGCTAAGTGTTTGTTAATAGAAGCATAATCCGCTTTATAAAAGTTAAATCTAGGGTGATCTTTATAAATCAATTGTTCCTTACCCACCAAAGGAAGAATGATATGAAGGGGAGGATGTAATGGGTGTACTTTACTCAATACTTCACTGGATTTGTTAACTATACAGGAGGGCACATCTGCCATGACAAGGTCCAAAATCCTACCGCTGTCGTTTTCTATAAGGTTGTATTGCTTCAGATGGTTCAAATTTATGAAGTCGAGTAGTGACTGCTCCAAAGACGTAACTTCCGAAATTTCACCTGTCTGACAGTGAAGAGGCCATTTGATTTTCCTCAAATTAAAATCACCAAAAATGCATACGGGAGAATCCCACCTATCAAAAAACATATTACAACTCCTCATGAAATCGTTAAGAGTGGTCTTGGAGACAGGGGGTCTAATGTACACCGCACAGATGGCTATCTGTTTTATACAACAGGAGTTCGGTACGTCTATGTCAATGGATATCCAGAGATCTTCAGTCGAATTAAATTCGGAAATAATGCGCTTTGAGCGGTATTTTTTTGACACGGCGATCATGACACCACCTCCGTCAACCATATCGCTGTGCACAGTTGTCTCCCTATCCCGTCTGTACGTCCGAAACGTGGAGGTAACTAAAATACGTTTAATACATCATTAAGTCCCAAATTATAAATCAAAATAATCTGTTAAACCCTATTTAAATCACTTCATGACCCAGTTTAATCCGTTTGTTCTGTATTTCGTTTGACTCGCGTCTCTGGAGTATTATACCATTTGTATAATGTTTGATACATTTATTACTGGCTTTTGATTATTCTTTACGGATTATTTAGCTACAGGGACAGCTGTCAAATCACGACAATGCACGTTTCGTCAAACGCAGCAATTTCTATTAAAATCAATAATCTCAGTACAGAGTACTAAAAAACCGACCTCAAAAGTAAGTGGAATTACGTCTATTTGCTAAGTTTTATTGAAATATCCCCTAGTTCGCCACTATACAGGACATGACATTGGAGATAATAAAAATCGGTTCTCACTACTCAAAGTATATTGAGAGAAAAACGCGTTGAATTGGAGAAATAGCAAAATCAACCATTAAAGTAATTGCTCCTAAATTAAAGTTAGGCACTATTTATAAAAATGAATCTTCATGCGTGAACAGCCACCTTTCGAGGTGGATGATTTTCTTCAAAATGAAATGGGACCACTATGGAAGTACCCCCTTTCCAACAAAAAAAGAATCATGAAAATCGGTTCACAAATACCGGAGTTATCGCGTAACATACTTACATACAAAAAAATAGAACATACAGACGAATTGAGAACCTCCTCCTTTTTTGAAGTCGGTTAAAAAGATTTGGGTCAATAGATCCTTTCGTACAATTTTAAAGGCGTTTTTTTGACATAAGTTGTACCTTTGGTACACACTTTAGACCAAAACTCTACACCTTTTTTGGTATTGAAATGACCCGGGCTCAGTATAGATAGACTTTGTGCCATACTCTCAGAGATAGACCTTGACAGATTACAGCGCTGTTCTGCTAGTATTGCTCGATCAGCGATCGCACCCACACAATTTACGCGATGAGGTCTACGCAGAATACGCTCAGATAGGCACCGGGCAGATTTTCTACAAATTTTCCAGGTAAATTTTTTACAGATGATGTAAAGGTACTGTGTCGCATCCGCTAAGAATCTCGCTCAAGTTCTGTCGTATATAAAGTACTGTTGGAAGGGGTGAAAGCAAGGAAATTTACTATCCTGTGGACCGAAGCTTTAAAATCTTGACCCATGATACTTTACAAGATAGTTCTACCTTCGTCGTGTCCCTTTCAATGGCCTAGAAAGTTCGAAACACTCCATTTTTGTATACTAGCCATTCGTACAAAACGTTTTGCATCTTAATGCGTACGGCAAGGGAATGGAGTGTCATTCCCGAAAACTACAATTTGGGGCTATTCAAGGTTAGAGTGAACAGGCGTTTTTTAGACAGCTCAACGTCAATGAAGTTGTGGCCAAGTCTCCGTCAATTTTTAATTAAAAAACTTATAGGCGACGGTTATCCTTTCCGTATATATCAGGCGTACCGTCTGTTTGCCAGTTTCATAAAAAAGGCCGTTCCCGCAAATTTGGGCTTCGTTTTCATTCTCTATTGAGTTAAGGTACCCTTAAACAGATTACCATGACCGAAGTTGCCCTACGCCGCGATCGTGTATTTTTCAATTTAGATGTCGTTTGTTAGTTTTGCATTACCATCAAGAGACTTTGATGTAGATGAGTGCTTATCTGCATAATTTATCTATAAAATAAACTCTAAGTCGTTAACAGGAGCTGCCAATATTGAAGGCTGTTACCTTTACACACTCTACAAGCAGCGATGCAAAGGCGGTACACGTTTTGAATTAATATCGTTAATTAGTATCGGTGCAGTCACGCGTTGGCATTGACGCAATCGCGCGTTTGCGCGTTTGTGTCAATTGAATCGCGCATTTGCATCGATGCAATCGACTATAAATCGCGAGTATAGCGATGCAATCGTGCGTTTAAAGTAGCCGTGTGTAACCACCCTAAGTGAAATGGGTTTTCCGCCTATTGTTTTTTTTTTAATCAGCGCTGCTACACACTAAATGCTTTTTTGACCACTTGGAGGGCAATTATCCATTTTATTACTTAGTAACTTGACCTCAAGCTATGGAATTATTTGTACTATTATGTGAAAGAACGCGGAAGGCTGATGTCCTGTATCTATTTAAAGTAGCAAGTGGCTCTGTCGATTGTCCTGAGATTCTCAGTAATTGGTTTACGTATTCCAGTGGCTTCATTTCGACATCCTAGAGCAAGTGAGTGTTATAACAGAATAGCGAGGCAGCAAGATATTGACTTATTTTTTACGACTTTTTAATACTTCTCCGGTCCATCTTAAGCGACTACTCTGTATTCGGTTTTGATTTTGCTTTCCCTTAAAAGGTTATTCAAATACGAATTTCTCTTTTTGATTTTTTTTTCTTCTCATTGTTTGTTTACAGTTCTAACATAAAATTTAACGGTAAACTTATCTATGGAAACTTGTAATTGGTCATCTATATTTATTTTTGTAACTACTAGCTGTTAGTTTCCCTAAAAATGTAAAATAAAATAAATCAATACCGGGGTTACACCCAGACAAGAACCTAAGTAGATTCAACCGAGACTGAAACCGGCTTCATTTTTAATCATAATGCCAACCTTGGGGAGCTTATCATAACGCTCAATTGGTGCTACATTGACGCAATTGTACCTCTTGTAATGTTACAGGAAATGGTTTTGAATTGATTTTTTAATTTTATTTCAAATTTATGACGAGTCAATAAAACATTGAGTATTTTTATAATATACATAAATTTAATTGGTATGTTGGTATTTACAAATGTGTTAACATACTTAATTCAATTTTGACAAAATTATAAAAAAAAATAGGTTTCAGGCAAATCATTCATGTCGTAAAAGTAGTGTAAGCATCAATTTCCAACCATATTGTTATTTGTGTTACTTGTGTTAGTTTTTTTTATATTTTAGTTAAACATATTTATGTTTTAGTGCATGTTGTGTTTGTGGCAATTACATTGCTTGCATTGTTAAAATATAAATAAGTAATATTGTACACAAACGTTGGTAAACTTAATAAATAAATTATAATTACGTCAATGTAATAAACGAGCGACAATCTGTGGATGTATGAATGAGGAGGTACAACAAACCTATATGCTGCATATCCCGCCAAGTGAGGTCCCGATTGGCTTGCAGCGCAAGCGCACATATGCCGGCGGCAAGCGGCGCAGACGCTGATGTGCCCGTGTGACCCGTTGTACACGAGTGTCGTAGATCTGTTGTTACCACCTGTAAAATAAATTAATCATTAGTTTTTGACTTAATATGTGGAGCTTAGTGTGACTAACTAAGTCAATAATTTTCTTAAAATTCGCTAAAGCCTAACACCAAAGACTATAATTCTTTTTCAACACAAATACGTTAAAACAACATCAGAAACACTCGTTCGCTGAAATGTCCAACCAAAAAAGTTTCATGAAAATATGTTACACCAATCTTTTCTTTTTAAACAAAATATACGACCTTGTTTGTATTAAAATGATATAAAACAGAAAGCGGGCAAAATCCTCGTACGCTACACTTATTGTGTCATAAATCATTTAAGTTTGACTGTAGGCACCGGGGTAAAACATATACATATGAATATGCTCACTCATTACCTTAGTGAATACTAAATATGTGAAAACATCTGTGTTACGATCACGGAAAAAAAACAACTGAAGTGCGTTAAGCTTCGTTTACTATAAGAACCACTGTCGCCAAAACTCACACATTAATAATTAGAAACACAGGATTGTTAATATAACTTAAACTTTACCCAGTCGCTTTATCGTTGAAATTTCAATCAATGTGCTGCAATCTAGCGGTTAATAGCTGAACGACAACGAGGTCGATATGTTTACTTAGTTCTCTAAAAAAGAAGCGGCCATATTGCAGCGGCTCACTTTTGTTTCTTGTAATAAATAATCTCAGTACAGAGTACTAAAAAAACCGACTTCAAAAGTACGTAGAATTACGTCTATTTGCTAAGTTTTATAGAAATATCCCCTAGTTCGACACTATACAGGACTTGACACTGGAGATAATAAGAATCGATTCTCACTACTCAAAGTATATTGAGAGAGAAACGCCTTGAATTAGAGAAATAGCAAAATCAACCATTAAAGTAATTGCTCCTAAATTAATGTTAGGCGCTATTTATGAAAATGAATCTTCATGCGTGAGCAGCCACCCTTCGAGGTGGATGATTTTCTTCAAAATGAAATGGGATCACTATGGAAGTACCCACTTTCCAACAAAAAAAGAATCATGAAAATCGGTTCACAAATACCGGAGTTATCGCGTAACATACATACAAAAAAAAAAAAAAGAACATACAGTCGAATTGAGAACCATGAAATAGTATTACAAGTGTGACTATAATGTTTGCACTCAAAAATAGCGAAACTTTGCGCAGATAAAAAAAGGTTTTGCGGAACTCCGAAAACCGTTGGCAAACGTGACACGCAAACGAATCACTTCTACTGTGTTTATTGTTCTGTGGTTAGAATAATTACGCCCTCCCTCATTAGTAAACAACTTTGTAGTAGATAATTACGAAAAAACAATAATAAATACGCAATAATAATGTGGCAGGACCAATTACGTGGTCGCGGACGTCTATCCCCCTGAGGTGTGTATTACAATTATGAAAACACATGTTGTATTGAACTTGACATGTAACAAAATAAGTTAGATTCACCATGTCCCGCCAAACAGTATGCGTACAAACATATTGAAGAATTACACAATACAGAGACTAAATTAATTATAGCATGTTCGCGTATATATGCTCACATGGTTCTAATAGGTCGACCAATAATTTAAACGCCGTGATAGTTATTTGTGTCAATTATAATAAGAATCGTTGAAGATTGTCAAAATAATAAAAAAGAGAAAAAAAAAACGATTCTCAAGTGAAGCAACCGCCTTTTAAAAAATCTTTTAATGCAGTATTATTGATTTTTTAAAGAAAATTATGCTACCTACAATATTTATTTTACTTAATCTCAGAGACGCATAATCGTGGGACACACCTGTATACATATAAAAGTCAAAGATTATATAATATTGACTTAAAACAGTACTTGACATGAATTTATTAAATACGTTGTTAGGTAATTTATAAATTTGTCGACCTCCGAGTCGAGTAGCTTGCACACTTTTTTCATGGTGGTGTCGCCATCCCTGAGGTCCCGGGTTCGATCTCCGGCCGGCTCCATGTAGACAAAATTTTCTATATTGTCTCAAAAAAAAAAAAAAAAAAAAAAAAAAAACAGTCCTTAATACTCCAGGAATGTTATAATCCAATAAATATATTTAGCTGTGAATTTTTACTTGTACTTTTCTTATCACATTTACATGAAACGTGTATGCACACATCACACATTATACCGTCTTCATTTCGTTTATTAACCACCTATACCCACGGCAAAGGAATGGAATGCACTATCTATGTTACCCGAAAACTACAGTTGGGGCTATTCAAGGCTAGCTTCAAAATATGCTTATTCATTAATAGGCATATTTTAAACAAACGCGTACTAATGTCATTCACACCTTCGTTGAACATCGGAGCGCGTCTATTTTCCATAAAAAAAAAGAAATCACAAAAGCAAATGAATTTTCAATTTGGGATCATTTTCGAAACATATATTTAGATCATTTGAAACCTTATATTCACCATACTATAAAAATTAACAATTAGCGTGTGGCAGCGGAACAAGCTCATACACTATGTAGAGCACATATTACATCACTGATTTTTATATCGACCCCATTGTTGTTGTGGACGCATAAATATGTAATCAGTACAGAGTACTAAAAAAACGGACCTCAAAAGTCATTCATCCCCTAGTTGGCCTTCCTTAGAAGTGGATTTTTTTTTTCAAATTGAAATGGATCTACTATTGAAGTGGAAAGAGAGCTCTTTCCAACAAAAGAAGAATTTTCAAAATCGGTCCGCAATTGACGGAGAAATTTGTGAATACATGGATACGCCTGTAAAATTTGAGGATTTCCTTCGATTTTCATGGGATCCCCTCATCAAATTCTGACGTGATGCCAATGGGACCACCACGAGAGTGTACCCTTTCAAACAAAAAAAGAATTTTCAAAATCCATCCACAATTGACGAAGACATCTGAACACATACACCCACGCACATAACGTGTAACCTCCTCCTTTTTTATAAACTCTGTTAAAAAAACAAATACCCGTAGCCTTAAACAATAAATATACACAAATAACTAACTACGATAGAGCTATAGAGCAAATAAATAATTTCTGTCACAGGTGGATGAAACCTACTAGAAAACTTCTAATATTTTCTTCTATGCTTCCTTTTTTCTATGCCTTCAAAAATGAACCCTCGGACCGCAAAATCGAACACGATTGGAACTTTCTTTGAAAATAAAAGAGAGGGAGAACGTTTCATATTTTTGCAGCTAAGTATTTAAAACATCCTGCGAAGCCTGCCATTTATAGTACAGGCAATAACAGTGTCGAGTAAATTACGAAAACGTCACAGACGAAATTAATACTATAAAAAGCTTTTCAACATTCATAACATAAAAATAAAATCAGACTCTGTCATTATTATATTATGAACCTACGCGCCGCCCACGCGGTGTTAACCTATTTTTACTTTACGGAAAAATTTAAGTAAACACGGAGAGAAAGCGTCTGAACTAAACAACAATCAATCCCTAAAGTAAATTTGAAATAATTACAAATAGATAAGACATCGGTGAGATTATGATGAGCTATGAGATCTATCATAAACACATAAAAAAACAGGAGAAGGTTCAGATTCAACTCGATATATATTACGCGAAAACTGCATTTGAAAGAAAGCCGTTCAGACAAAGAACAACCATCGGCAACAAGTACATAACAGAAATTCATAAGATCTGCTAACACAGGAGAGCGGTTAGCCCCGGTCTGGTAAACAGTCGCTGGTTCGAGTCCAGTCAGATTTGAGCATTTTTCTTTATATTTGTTCAATCTTTGTATCAGTAACAAACAGCAAGATCTTGAAATCTACACTTTTAGGTTCAATAATGAACCCTGTCATTATGGTCCCCGCGCCTTTACATTTTCCACTTCAAGGAGTATCTCCACATTACCATAACTCTAATTTTAACTTTGAACGAATTCCGTAAATCTTTTTGTTTACAAAATATAGCAACACCGGGAACCTTTTCGTGTCTAACTTAAACTTTTTAGACCAGTTCTACTTTGGAAATCCTTTCGCACTAACACTAAAGTTAAATAAACTTAGTTTAATTTTTTATTGAATTGATATTCAATTATTTGTTATGTGAAATTACTCCACTATATTGTTATAATTATTAATACAAAGATCCAACACTCAGAAATTAATTCCTTCGGTCCGGCCGCGATTGTACAGCGACATCTCTAGCCGGGACTGGTAGCTGTAAAAGTATCTAACTGGGTGACGAAATACTTTCATGGATTTCTCATAGATGGCGTTACGGCTAAAAAGACGTTGAAAAACCAAATAAAAAGATACGACAACAAACATATAGAAAAATTCGTGAGGTCCGCTAGTTCGTTCCGTGGTTTAGTTGGTATAGCGTCTGGCGTGGTATGCTAGAAGACGTCGGTTCGAATCCTGCCGGATCGAAGGTTTTATTTCTGAGTGTTCGATGTTTGTGTTAACAATTAAATAAACTTAGGGTCAAATAAATCTCTTTGGCAAACACTACCAGAAAGAAGAACCAGTTAAAGTTAACCAGTTTACTAGCAACAAAACTAATTGTGAAGAGTTCGTTCAGGGAAATACTGTAACCATACCCATTTCTGCCACTAAAGTACCGACACATCATCAAGTTTCGAATTAATTCATAACTACGTTGAAGGAAATGATTGTTGTACGTTCTTATCAATAGTGACGTGCAGTTAAATTTATGGATGTATATTTTTACGACACCGCTCGGCATTTGTTTTTCGAAATTCGAATAAAAAAAAATGAAATCTAATACGATCGTCACTTATGTGATTGCTAGCCAGCACAACCTCCGGCAAACTCTCGTCAAAGCTTATGCAAAACAAAGCAGTTTCGAATTGACGATATATATATTAAGTAAACATTGCCCAGCAGCGGGAGGTATAATGTATACAATATGCCATATAACTGCACCAATTGCCTGGTCTCAAAGTAGAAAATTCCCCTCCGTCCATTTGAATCCCCTGCTACCATCCCCTGGGAGCTTTATAAGGATTTTTCCCTGCAATATGAGAATAAGTTTTCACCGAGATCACTAGAACACGAAGATCAGAGCCAATTTAGAATCAATGACTGTCAGTAATTACAGGTTTCTTACAACGGTATGATTTTTTTATTTTTTCAATATTTCTCGTAAGTACCTGACTTTTTTTAGATCGCGATCACAAAGTGCCAAAGGTTTAACCGTGAAGACGGAAAGCTGTCCAGTGCGTTGAATCCTGTGCTTACACTAAAATTCAAACTAGAATGATCCCTATGACACTTATTTGACGTTTGTCATAGGTATGAGGTAAAGTCGATAGATTTTTAGTGCATTTGATTTTTTAAACAAAAGTCTCTCTTCTAGTTATAGCGGGTGGGTCAAAAGGGTGTTGGCGGTTTGGAATAAGAATTAAAAAAAAAACGTAATCGTACAATGTTTTTTATATTGTTATTTATAATCAAAACATATCTTGGAATTTTTATTTCTTAAATATAATGTTGTCTAAATGATATCCATCAGTGGTTTTCGTAGACCACCGATTTAAAAAAAATCACATGGAGTGAGATCGGAGCTGTGTGGGGGCCATTCAATATCCCCTCTCTTCGAAATTAGTTTTCCCACAAAGATTTCTTTCAGCAGGTCTATGGTCACCCTAGCGGTACGGCACGTGGCACCATCTTGTTGGAACCACATCCTCGAAGTCACGTTGATATTCTTGCAAAGCTGGGACCAAGAACTCCCTTCACATGTCGCAATAATTGTTGGCTCTCACCGTCATCGCGCGTCCTCTTTCATCCTCGTAAAGTTACGGTCCGACTACACCGGATGCCGATACTTCAGCCCACATGACAAGTTTTGGACTGTGAAGTGGACGTTCATACAGACATAGGGGATTGGTCACAGACCAGAACCGACAATTTTGTTTGTTCACGTGACCATTAAGATGAAAATTGACCTCGTCAGTGAATATCATTTAAAAGAATCGTTGAACCGGTCAGGCATCAGATTAATGATAATGAATTCGGTTTTAATTCTTGGACAAGCTGGATCTCGTAAGCCTTAAGATGCAAATCACGTTTCAAAATTCGTCGTAAAGATGTTCTTTTGATGTCCAAATCTTGGCTTCTCTTACGTGTTGATTGTTGGGGATTTTACTAAACCGAAACACGAACTCGCTCAACAATATCGGGCGCTCTTGCAGACACTGGGCGACCGCGATCCATTATTGCTAGTTTCGAACCAGTGGTTTTAAACATTCTAATTCATTTGCGTATTGCGCTTGGAGCCTCACTGATGTTTCGCAAACCGTGTTCCTATCGATATCATCGTTACGATATATGCGCGAACACAAAACGGCTCCATGGCGACTAAAATTTCAAGAAGCGACGCATTTAGTGATATAACCCCCGCCACCCCGCTTCATACAGTTCTGAGAAACTAAGGAATCAAATATTTTGGCACACCCTGTATTTTAGTGACGTATTCTGAACGATATATAGACGTGTGAAGTGTTTTATATTATATTGAAGGCATAAAACACGCAACTATAATTCAAATGCAATTTCAATCGATTTTTTTTATTAAATACCAAGAAACATTTATCATACCTATTAATAATTTTATAGGTTTCAAAAAAGTAATTCACTATTATTAAAATTCGTACTTTAAGAATGAATACACACATTATATATACACTTATTCATTAAATCATCGAAAACTTTTTATCCGCATACCTCATCACTAACAAATGCAGTACAATGAAGTAACCTTTGCATGAATGTCGTAAAAAATTAATACATTTTAACTTTTTCATTTAAACAAAACCCCGACTACAAACGGTTGCTTATCGACTTTTTTGATTTCCATGGGATCCCCTCATCAGATTCTGACTTCTTGGTGACAGTGGGACTGTTACGGAATTCCTAGTACATTTTATTGTTTTTTTACTGGTTTGTTTTCATGGTGACTGTGATTTGTTGATTACATGTATTGCGTCAAGTGAGAAAATTATTTTTTCATTTGTGATAGCCGAAACGAATCCGGAACAGCGTCGTCTGCAACAGAGACCACCTCGAGTGTTCCCTTTCAAACGAAACAAGAATTTTCAAAATTGGTCCACAATTGGCGGAGAAATTCCAAAACGTACATACAGCCGAACGTATAACCTACTTATTTTATTTACCCTTTTTATTTTGAAGTCGATTAAAAATGTTTTTCCGCTCATTTCTAACAAATAAACATTGATTTGAGCAAGCAAGGTTTATAAAAATAATTTATGAAATACGTAAATTAGCGCGCGTCGTTACAAGGTTATATTTTGTAGATTTTTATGAACTGTCACAGGGATCATCCCAGATTATTTAGTGTAGTGTTTACAACAATTAATACATAATAATAAACCAAAAATTATTCGACAATTTCGCGTGTGGACACACTTAGTATGATTTGTCATGTGTGTGACAATGCTAACGCCACAAGCGATCGAGATAAAGGTACTCGTCGACAGCGAAAGAGGGTAGACATAATCTCTGTTCTTAAAGTTGTCAACTGCCGCTGGCCAGGCAGCCCGTGACCACGGAGTGTTCTCATGTTCAGTAGGTACTGAGAAGAACTACAATTCTGATTTATGGCACGCTTGTTCAAACAACCATAAACACGTCAACTTGACGTCATTTTTTAAACACCGAGTGAATGCTTTCATTCTATAAAGAATGGCGAATGCGACCACCCGCGGTGTGCACTGTGAGGTTATGCGAATGTGTGCGTCCGTACCAGGGTTATTGCTGATGCAGGGTTTTACACATCAGTGAATGTTGAAACAGCGTGCCTTTCAGGTCATGTCGCGTCTCGAACATCCGCAATGGATATCAGCATCGATGAATGCGGATGCGGGTATTCGCAACAACCCTAGTTCGTGTACACGGCGCGTGGAGGACGTGCACACATAGAAGACGCGCTCTTACGTTTGTATGGAATTACCCTACTTGGTTCTATTTTATTAAGGTGTAATGATTCCGATATATTGGAAAAATGTAAAGAAATCGCACTATGGCAAGAAATCATTAGAGAATAATCACGAAAATATTATTATAACCAATTTAGTTTATTAATAATCTCCTTATCCACCGCGCACAGTTGAGATACGTAGTCAGTGTAGGCTACGTAGTTATAGGCTGCGAAACCATGAAACCCGTAACAAAATCGTATCATTTAATCCCTAGGGCGTCATGTGCGTCATTTAACCCTTAGGGAAAAAAGCACCTACTAAAGAAACTACTAAAGAAAAAAATACTCAAACAGCCAGTACATGCTCTAGTCTGGTTTTAGTTCTTTGCCTATTCCGCATAGATGGTGGCGCCATATTACTTTCCCGAGTTACTGCGTTTGTAGTATGAACCTTTGTAGTGACGCAACGTAGCTTTTAAATCGTTTTGCAATCGAAGTGAAAAGTAAAGTTATTCACCACAGGACTAAGAGCCAATACAAACCCTCGAAGTAAAAAACACCCGTATACTGGCTCGTTTTAGTCCCTCGATAAAAATATACTATTATCGATAATATTTAACCTAGAGTTCACAAAACTGTTACATCACAATAGGTTTACATAAAAAAAACTCGCATGGCGGACAAGGTTTTCCGCCATCAAGCAGCTCGAAACGCGGGAGAAGAGGAGCCGGTGGCATCCGGCCAGCGCCGACAAAAGCCGAGCGCGGCAAAATTTTGCTCGCTTCCAGTGCGGGTTATTACGGCGGTACAGTACTATTATTTTATTTAAATGCAAAGCTAAGTGGATTAAAAATGAGGAGTCTTATCAGATAACCGCCTCTTCACGGTTAGAAACGTGAGAAAGTAGAGCACGGGGTTATTGGGTTCTCTTTAACATTCTACGTCACACCTACATTATCTCACTATTCATTTCTGCTATTTAATTGTCTTTGTTGGCATTTGTAGTTCGTATGATCACTACACTACTAGATACAGGGTCACATTTTAGATAAATACATATTTAGTTGCATTGTTACAAGTACATAGTTTTGCGATTTTCTAATAATAATTATATCTTTCTTGCAAAACACAGAAAAATAGATACAGAGACGTGCCTAGCTCCCAAACTAGAATCCCCAGCATTATGGGTAGCTAGGTCTTACGTCCGTCAATTGTGTTGCCTAAAAATAATAATAACTTAATTTATTACTTAAACTAAGTATATTACGCTTAATAAACTTATAAAATATGGTTTTCTGTCTAAATTTCAGACTTACAATCTGCAGTAGTAATTTTGAGTGGTTGCCTTGTGGAAGAGTTCATCCAGAGAAGTACTTGTAAGTAGTACTTTTTAAGGGTGCTGGTGAAATTACAGGTATATGGGAGTTGTCAACTTACGTCTCAAGGTGACGGGCGCAGTGGCAGTGGTCCTCAGATCTTTACGATTAAAGCTCTGAGTGGCACTGCAACTGGTGTGGGTAGGCGTATTATATTATTATAACTGACCTGTTTTTCCTTAATGGCACCGCTGCTGTAAGTGGCGGCCAAAGTGGAGCTGCACATCTCCGAATACCATGGCACCTCTCCTCGTTCCGTGGCGGAAGAGATTGACAGCGTCCATATCGAGTTGGTGTAGCCGTCGCAGTTGCAGTTGTCCTGTTCTCTGCCGCCGTTGCCTGACGCCCAGACAAAGATGGATCCTTTGCCGTTACGACCCTGGAGAATTAACTTTGACATTTATTACCTATCTATATTCATTTAGTTCAATAAACAAATTTTATTATATGAAAAAAGATAAGTAAAAATGATGAAGAGCATGTCTACGAGCTCAATGAATTAATTATAAGTTTATTATGAACTGTGTTCGGATCCCTTAGAAGTAAAATTATTTATGTTTCACAAAGCATTTTTTGCTCTAAAATAAGCGTTAGGCGTTTTTGTGGGCACAACATTATTACTATTATGTAGTGGAATCAAATGCGGAAACTTTGGAGGTCATAGGTGAAAGTCCTCAATAAGAAGCTTTCAGTTGACCTCGTCGAAGCCTCCGGTGGCCAGAGGGTTGGCAGCTACTTCCGCCAAAGATAAGCTTAGCCGTCCTGAGGGGAAACGTTGCCAGCTTCCTGAGCACAATGCCCCAGGGCGCGACCCTCGATTAAATTCTTTAGAAATAAAAACACGAGTTGTATTAAAAGCACTTATTTCTTTTATTTGTTACTTAATCGCACTTTTAGAATGAAAGTGACCTAATTAAAAAATCAACAAAATGTGTAAATGTACATTTTAAGTCTTTCGTGGTTATTCACTGACTATCTGTTGGGAATTCCAAGAAGTTCCAAATAAAAAGAGGCTTTTAAATAAACAAGGGAACACCGTTCTCGGCATTAGCCGAGAATAACAAGCTGGTCTTGACACTAAATAAAAATTAATCTAAAGTTGCTTGATGTTTGTTTGCTATGAACGACATGTCAGGCGCACAAACTAAAATTCTACGAGTTTCTTACCACGGCGCGGGTTTTTTTTGTTTTCCCCAAATTTCGGAACGGTTAAGATCGAACGCCAGACTCTATATGAGTCTCTTTCACACGTTACAAATTCCACTTCTGCGTCGGTATCTCAACGTCGCGTTTAGTGTCAAATCACAAATTAACATCTCCAAAGACAACATGCAACGCCGTTGGCGAAAAGTGAGAGGTTAGCAATCAAGCCCTTTTGGTTCCAATAAGCATAGTAAGATTTTTACAAACGCGACTTACTTTTTATTTAGAAGCCTTTCTTTTATAATTAAAAAGGGGTTCTAATCTTGATAAGCTAAAACATCTTTCTTAGCTGATGAAAATGCAAGAGAATTAATTCTTATTAGGTCAAACTACGAAATTTAAGTAATAAAATTACTTTATAGCCTTAGAATAATAACGCATAGAAATCTAGCCCGCACACGCTAAGTGAGGGCCTACACGAGCGGGCGGGAGTTCAGTGCTCAAGGTCAACTTGCAAATTTTAGCTAAAAATGACGAAATGTGCGGTAAATGAGTGTAAAAATACGTCAGACAAACATAAAATAGATACTAACATCACATTCCACAAGGAAGTAACGCGTTTCAACTTGTATTTTTATATAAATATTCACTAAAACCGAAAATTAACCTACTACTAAAACTAGCCTACATGAATTTGATTTTTGCCTCACTTGTGACAGTTCGTTTGATATGAAACTATCATTCTATGCGTTATTATTCTAAGCTTATAGCATCTAATCTCGCGAATCATATTTTTTGTCTTCTCCTGTACTTTAATCTGTCAAATATAATTTCCTATATCAGAAAGGTTTACAAAATTCTATTATCTATGATCATTGACTTAATAACAAAATGGTACTCGTTACCGAACTGAAAGATGTCATTATAGTCCTGAGTTTGAAAAAAAGAAAATTATATTTTTGCTAATTAAGAGTCTCCTTAAACGCGTCACTGTGTGCCTGAACAGAATTACGTCACTATATTTGTGAAATTACTAAAATTCTATTTATTTTATTAAATAATAGCTCAAAATGTTACGGAACCGGTACAAACTATTTAAAAACAATATACTGCCTCCTGACTGGTTAAAGTTTACCTACAAATTAAAACAGAAAGAAAGAATGAATGGAAATTATAGGACTGCCGAACACAAACATTGGATCAAATGCCATCTTCGTTTGTTCGCTCCATTTTGAAGACTCAAATTTTAATAAAACTTTGAATATAACTAGATTACCTACATGATAATGCAATTCCATCCCTAACAATTAATTGGTAAATAAATTTACATTTAATTTTGATTAAAATGGCTCATTACTTGCCTAGTATTAATCATAGTTTGATTACAGTAAACTATAAAAATTTGCAAACATAAAAAAGATGAAAACCGATACCGTTCTGACGCGTCACGACACGACAGGTCAGACAAATGTAAATATTTTTTTATAAGTACGACAACGGGTGCTTCATTCACGATAAAGTTTGACATGCTCTGTCCGTCACAAAGGCAGCATAATGTATATGTTAACAAATATTATAGAAACCTAAACGAGTCAACCTCGGTTGAACTGCCAAAAGGCAGTTTGTTGGTTGTAAAACTTCTTTTTGGCAGGAAACTAAACTTATCAGGGTTTCCGTAGGCCGGCAGACCTTTGCATAAATAAACCTAAAAAAAATCAACAGTGTACACAAAAGTAGGGTTTGTTCACAGAGGTATTTTTCCTAGCTTGAACGTGAATAAATAACATTTTGCAGTAACAAAAGGTCTCGGTACGGAGGAATAACTGTATGTAAACGCAACTCATAGCGCAATTTTCCTAAAATATGAGTAAATACATAGAATAGAAAAAGACTTATTAATGGCTTACAACACATCAATAAACACATGTAAATTTAGAAAAAGAAATAATAATAATAATAATAATACGAAATTTAACTTAAAATTAAAATTATTAAATTAACAGTTAAAAGTACGTAGGAAATAAAATTACATTAAGACGATATAGAAACAGTAAAAAAAAATTAATACAAAAAACAATGTGTTGCTACCGTGAAAAGGCTGCGACTCAGCGTAATGCCTATCTAGAGACTGACGCTGATCTTCCGTCGCATCCTCATTTGTTAACCCAAACCAACCCAAAAAACGAAGAAATCAGTAAATAATGAGACGTTTAGCACTTTCACAATGTTAATGTATAGAACATGGTGATATTCTACATATACATACATATGTATAGTGAGTGTACCACATATGCCATTATATTATACAAAATTATAATAAAACATAAATCAGTGTCAGTGGCCAATGGCAAGCACGCAAGTATAGTCTATAAGATATACCTAGGTACCTATTTTACATCTCTAATTCTGTACTTTGAAAAGCTACCGCCATCAGACCTGTGTAGGGTGACTACATTAATTTAGATAAATATAATTATATTATCGTTAATTGTATAAGTGCATAATCTACTTACTGTTTATATTTATATACATGCCATTAAAATATTTCTGTTTCATGTGTAAGATAAATAATTTATATAGCTTCATATAATACATAATTGTAAATATAATATATATGTAATAGTACTCTAAACGTGTAAAGTAAATATAAAATATGTGTAATAGATATAGTATACAGACGGACAAGCGCATTGTGTTTTGTTATTAGATATTTGTGCGCGTCCACCGGCCGGCTGCATGATGGACCAGTTGCCGCGAAGAATAGCAAGGGGCGGGGCCGAGCACGGCAGTGGCATGACATAGAAAAGTCGCTTCTTTGCTTTCGAGTGGAATGCGTGTCATATGCTCAGTAATCTCGGCTACCCCGCTATTTTATTTATTTTTGCGAGCAATTGCTAACCGATGTAATTTCTGTTCGATATTTCCTATATGTTCCTTCTGCTGTAATCTCTGTGTTGTTTCCGTGAACGAATATACTGTGAATGGTAATTTTTGTGAGTACCATTCCGCGGAACCACTAGTAACGATTCTACACCTGTTTTTGCTTTTCTAACAAAATAGCTTTAAGGTATTTTTTGACAACAAGCTTTGACAATGGAAGTTTTATTTATTTATTTAATTTCATTAGCAATATTCTTTGTGTTGGAAAAAAGAAAATACAATTACAATTAAAATCTAACATCATATCCAAATAAGAAAACGAAAATAAATTAATATATTAACTAGTCATTAGTGCAAAATAATTATAATAATACAATAACAATAACGATGTCAAATTAAATGTCATCGGCATGGTTCAATACAAATTAAATGCAAAATAATAACAATAATGTCAAATAATAATAATCAATAACAATGTCAAATTATGAATCCTTATCCTCGTTAAATACAATTTAATTTAATGTCACAACAAATTCATCAATACAATAAAATGATTTTTCCAATAAGAAACGTTTCAAACGCTTTTTGAAAGATATGTGATCTTGTACCATTTTAAGTTCACTAGGGAGACTTTTATATATTTTTGTTGTTTGGTATCTAGGGCTATGCTTTATAATATTCAACTTTGGTGTTATTACACCACGTCTATCCTTTCTCCTAGTAACAAGTCTGTCTGACTCGATCTTCTTGTTAAATTCAGACGAACATTCAGCCACGCCTGTTAACAACTCCAAAATATAGAGACAAGGAACTGTTAATATAGATAGTTGTCTAAAATAAGGTCTACTCCCAATGTGGAATTCTAGCTATGGTTCTTGTTGCTCTTTTCTGAAGAGTGAAGGCTTTCTTTACATTATAGTCATAGCTGTTACCCCAAAACCTGATGCTATATCTTAAATGCGACTCGACTATAGCATGATAAACCATTTTTAAGTCGACGATAGAGGCTTCATCCCGCAAGGATCGAAGAGCATAGCAAGCTGAACTTATTTTTTTAGTTTAAGTGGAGGTGGAAGATTATTCCAGCATTTACTAGGCTGGTAGCGGAAACTTCCCTCAAAAGCTCTGGTTTTATGATAGGCTGGGATACATCAACTTTAATACCAGAAAGCTGTCTACAGTGTAGTTTATCCTCCTTTATATTCATTGGATGAAGTACACAAGACTAAATCGAGTAAATACTGATCAAAACAGGCACTCGTCAAAGAAATGGCTGCACAAACGAGACTGAAGCTCGTGAAATAAAAAGGCGAAGAAAATCAACGTACAAATTCGTGTAAACAAACGCGCTCAAGC